AAGACGCGCGCTGCGTCGCCCACACGGTCAGAAAACACACGCGCAGACGCATCCACAGCGCGGTCAGAAAAGACGCGCGCTGTGTCGCCGACGCGGTCAGAAAAGACACGCGCAGACGCAGTCTCGGTCACGGCGGAAGCTCCCAAAACAGCCTCAAGTGCATGCTCTGCAGCCACGCATTGCTCCTTCAGTGCCTGCTGCACAGGTGAGTCAGGCGCCAATGCCTCTTTCTCGGCGCTGACAGCTGTGCGCCACACCTCCAAAACTTGCTCTGCCTTCTGCTCGAGCGTCTCTTGTTCAATCTGCTCTACCAAAGCTTCAAGATCGCTCCTCTGCTGCAGCTTCTCTTGCGCCGAGCCAATCATGGCTTGCTCGAAAGCAGCAATCACCTTTGTGAACTGAGCTTTCCCCATCTTCATCAACTCTTCGTTGGTGTACGAAGCACTCGTGTTCAGGCCGACTTGGCGCTTCACAAAGTAAGTTCTTGAGCGTAGTGCCTTATTACGCAGGGCCGTGTTCAAGGCAAAAAAGTAAAAGCGCGGGTGCGCTTGGAAGCGACCGTCGGCTCGCAGCAGCATGTGTTTGATCCACTCCCAGAAAGAGAGCGGCTGCTGGTTCTCCGCTCGCTCCTGAACATGGGCCCAGTAGTCCCCCTGTCCCAGCGGAAAGAGTTTGAGGAACCCTGCAGCGATGTAGTACGGGTGATCCTCACGGATGAGCACGTTGCGAGACAGCACTGTGGGGGGATCCACAATGGGCAGGCCTGCCACACGACCTGCGCCGTGGCGCTGAAGACTGGCTGAGGCCAGCACATCTGAGCGATGTGCATCGCCCAAGGCATTCCAAAGATCCTCTTGCATCTCTTGCTGCGTTTGCTGCCCCGCCAAGTCTTCGGGAGACCAAAAGCCTTCGGGAGTCAGCGGCTGCTCCTCCCAGGCCGACAGCTCTTGCACGGCTGTCAACTCATCGTGCAAAATTTGCTCAACTTGGTCGTGTCCCATGCTTGGCTGGTCTGTCAAAGGGCGGTCAGAAAAGACGCACCGCTGCTGCGAGACTAAGTACCCCACGAGAGTCGAGGTGACCAACTCATCTGGGCCACCGACAGCTGCAAAGTCCAGCTCGTCGAGCTTTTGTCTCAAGCTACACCAAGTTTTCTCCATGCGGTCAGCATCACTGACGCTCTCTGGCGGCTCGTGCAAAGCTCGTACTTGCGAGGCCAGCTGCAAAGACAAAGTGCTGGAAATCCACATCGCAAAGAGCCTCTTTTCGATCTGGGGCCAGATCTGCTGCTGCACTTCCCGCACCTCCAAGCCCTCAGGCTCTGCTCCCTCTTCAGTGTTGGAGTACTGCTCCAAGTTTGCACGGTTCACGAAGCCGCAGTATCCTTCGGGAGTCAGGCCACCCGGGCGCAAAGCCGCGGAGCCTCCATCTTCGACTGGCCGGCACAGTCGGTTCAGGGCACGCTCGAGACGCCGGCGCGAGACCAGAAAAGGTACTCGCTGCTTCCTGTGCACATCCTTGCTGCAGCAGCGTATCAGGAGCATTTTCATGTCTCCAACTGCAGCAGGAATGTCTCGCACGAACTGCGGGCCGTTTTGAAAAAGGTTGCCCACGTGGCCTCGCAGCTCACACTGGCCCGTGCCGTACAGCGTAAAGATCCGCACCAAGTGCTGGATCGGGGACAGGATCTCTTCCTCGAAGAAAGTCAGGGCATCGATCTCCGGGAGAGTCTCTCCCGGATCTGCGTGGTTGGCCGCCGTCAAGCGGAACGGCTCCTTGGGCAACATCGCCTTGGCACGTTCCTTGGCTTCGTGCAAGCAGTTCTCACAGATTGGCTTGCCGGCTTCCAGCCAATCGGCCTCAGGTGCCCGACAGAAGTTGGTCTTCTGAAACGCTTGGGTCTCGAAGCCTCCGGGCAGGCCACTCTTGCCTTTGCCTGCGGCAATGCCGAACCAGCCTTCCTTGCAGTAATGGCAGTCCTGAAACTCCATGCTCAGCATGTAGGAGTCCACCTCATGCACACGGTGGAAAAACGGCATTATGCGGGCTTCGGCGTCCATGCTGTTGCCGTACAACTGCCGTAAGCTCTTTGGCAGCCGAGGCCGCGGCAAGTGGTCCCCTAAAACTGTCTCACTGGCGTGCAGCTTTGGCTCATGCCATGCCTTTAATGGCATGTGTTCCACTTCGATGAGAAGCGGCTGCAGCGCCCTGCGAACACGCTCTTGGTCCACCAGGGACAGATGGCACCAAGTTCTCCGGAGGAAATCATAGCCGAAGCGAAAATCATCATCGGCTTTCTTGCCATGGCCGCTGAACAGCTCCTCGGCACAAGTAGCTCGCAGTGCCTGCAGCTCGGCCTTTCTTTGCTGAAGCATAGTCAAAAACTTTTCGACCAGAGCGGTTTCGGAGACACACAAGTCACGCTCCCAGCCTTGCACGAGTGCTTCTTGCTCCGGCGACAGATGCTGTCTGTATCTTTTGAGAAACATAGCACAAAAGGAAGAGCTTACATCAGCTCCCTGGTCAAGGCTTTGCAATGCCTTCACCAGGGAGCTCTTTTCTTGAGCTCGCAGCACGGCAGAGTAAGCTTGGACAAAAGCACTCAGCCTTGCAAAGCTTCGTTGAAGGCCGGCCAGAAAAGGCGCAGCCTCCAACTTGGACTTGTCACAAAGCACAAACTCCCAGTCTTCTAAATGCTCTTTCTGGTCGGCATTCAACAATGCCACGTGCCTGTCGAAGAAATTCTTAGCTTGCTTCCAACGTGTGTCGGAATTCGCGCGGTTGCTGCTGACAACAGCTGACAAGCTTTGCTTCTGTAGCTGAGCAATTTCAACAGCATTCTGAGCGAAGAAGGCTTGCACTTCGACAAAGGCAGGAGCACGACGCGATGCTGCAGCTTCTTTTGCCGCAGCACTCACTTGACACAACTCAGCTTCCTTTGCAAGCAAAAAATCCTTTTCCGCAGACGCCAAGCGGTCGCTATAGCGCAGCAGGAAAACACGGCAAAAGCTCGACATTTGAAATTCCTGCATGTGTCGACTCTGCAAAGCTGCCAGCAAGCTTGGCTTGCTTGAGTATCTTATCGCCTCTGCCGTCTCTGTCAAAAATGCCTCCACGCGGCAAAAGCAGCGTTGAAGGCCGGCCAGAAAAGGCGCAGCCTCCAACGTGGACTTGTCACAAAGCACAAACTCCCAGTCTTCCAAAATCTGCTGCTGAGCTGGCTCCAAGCTTGAAAGTTTTCGTCTGCAGAAATTTCTGGCTCGCTCCCACTCTGGTACCTGACTGCGCCGCTTGCTGTTGAGCAAAGCTGTAAGCGTCGGCTTCTTCATTTGCACAAGCTCCTGCGAGTAGGCTGCCAAAAACGCCACCGTCTTATCAAATGCGTCTGCCATGGCGTCCGGAGCGGTCAGAAAAGACGCGCTCCACCGTGCGGGATACACAAGGAAACGATGTCACTGGCATGTGTCTGTGGAAGTATATGCGTTCTGTGGGAACACAAACTAAAAAAAAAACATCAAGAGGTTGTCCGCCTGAGCGTGATGCTGGTAGGTCGGCTGGTGACAAACAACAAACTAGAACATTAACATGTTCTCGGCCTGTGTGTGGTGCTGGTGGGAGTGCTGGTGAAAGTGTAGTGGTGGTAGTGGTGGTGGTGATGTGAGTTGCCGCTCCGCGATTGAAGCCGGGACATGAACAAACATGAACAGTGGTGGTGGTGATGCTAGTGATGCTGGTGACGAAAACCGGGACATTGAACAAACATGACATACGCGGAGCAACTGACAAGACAGAGCCGAAACGCCACACGGTCACAGCGACATTACCTCCCTATCTATCTATCTATCTGTCTATCTACCTATCTATCTGCCTGTCTACCTCTCTATCTATCTGTCTACTTGTCTCTCTATCTTTCCAGCTTTCTATCTATCTATCTATCTATCTATCTGTCTGTCTGTCTATCTATCTAGAGCGCGACTAACTCAACAGGGCAGCGTAGGATGCCTTGCGCGTTGCCATTCCAATGCGTTTTACCACTGCCAAGCTGCATTCCATCTTAGAAATGCGCACCGCGCGCAAGCGCCACGCATTTTTTCCAAATTGGATGAAAGCCTTGCGCGTTGCCATTCCAATGTGTTTTACCACTGTCAAGCTACATTGCATCTTAAAAACGCGCACCGCGCGCAGGCGCCACGCATTTTTCCAAGTTAGATAAAAGCCTTGCGCGTTGCCATTCCAATGCGTTTTACCGCTGTCAAGCTACATTGCATCTTAAAAACGCGCACCGCGCGCAGGCCGCGTGCGATTTTTGAAAGTTGGAGCTTCCAAAAGTAGCCCGACCCTCTCAGGTTTTTACGATTTTGACTTCCAAATGTGCACCGCGCGCAGGCCGCGTGCGATTTTTGAAAGTTGGAGCTTCCAAAAGTAGCCCGAGCATGTAGTGTTTTTACGATTTTGACTTCCAAATGTGCACCGCGCGCAGGCCGCGTGCGATTTTTTGCCAGCAATTCCGACCAAAGGCTCCGCACCCGCCGCTTTACCGAAGTAACTTCTGGGCCGTCTGGAGGCTCAAAACATTGAAAAATACAGCATTTCGCGACCTTTCTAACATTTCGCACACCATGCTTCATCTTTCTTCATCGCTTCTTCATCTTTCTTCATCGCTTCTTCATCTCTTCTTCTCTCTCTCTCTCTCTATCTCTCGCTCTGCACTGCTCTGCTTGAGTTGTCGATATTGTCGGAAGTTAGACTTCTAAACTTCCTTCGACTAAACTTCCTTCGATAATTACCCTCCACAGCTCCAAATCCACCCGAAACTGCATTTGAGTCACAATCAAAACCCGGCAAAAAATGGTCGACCCAGAACCATGCAAAGAACTAAGAAGGCGGCCGCAGCTATTTATGGCTGGGATCGTCCCTTACTAACCTTCACTTACCCGGGTTTTGATTGTGGCTCATTTGACAAGCAACTCAAATTTTAGGCGTGAAATTTTCCGGGGCTCCTTGGAAGATCAGCGGCAGCTCCAGCAGCAAGACACTCTGCAAAGCGTCTAGCGCTTGCGGGGGCACCCCATAGGTCACCACCACCTAAGCGGGCGCCGTTGGTTGGGGGCTCGTCCAAGTTAGGAAGTTGTTGGCGACCTAGCGCACTCATACTGTGGATGGACGAACTCCATGTCGCACCACTTGGAAACCATGGGATGGGAAACCATGGTTTGTTGGTATTTACAGAAGAGTCATCATTCCAGGATTTCTTAGGTGGTGCAGGATTTCGCCCATCCACACTAAGTCCCCGTATATCTGCGGAATCAACCCTGTTATTGGTCGGTTGGCCGAACATCCCCCGAATTGGGGGCCTGGAAGTTGGGGGTAGAAACAAGAACCAAAGGTTCAAATCCCCAAACCGATTCATTGGGGCTACCCGCTTAGTGGGGGCCTGCAAAAAAGTCGTATGATAGGATTGGGGGCTGTATTTTTTTTGATTGGAGATAAGCGAGTATATACTGTATGAAAATACTCAGATCCTACTATCCTGCTACCCTCATCTGTGCTCTGCTGATGCCACAGGTTATGTTTACAGGTTATGTTTGTTTGATGGTATTGGCTTCTGGTACACTACATTAGCCCTGGCATCCCCAACTGTCCAATCTATGCCAAGCTATGGGCATGCGGGCCGTCAAGCACTGTCAAAAGCGAAGTGGCCGGAGATCGAAGGGACAGAGCCAGGTAGAACTACGACTGGGTCCAAAAAAGGAACACACTAAAACAGTCTTCTTGGCAGCGCTCGAGCATCAGTTGGACCAGGCGCAAAGGCCAGGTAGCCCCGCTCTGCGGCGCCCAGTTGGCACAAGCCACGGAAGCCGCTTGCGCCGCCCGCCGCTGCGCCCGCCTGAAGGAAGGAAATGCGCAGCGTGGGGGGGCAGGCGGGGGCAACAGGAGACCCCTCCAAAAAAGCGGACAAGGGGAACCGCTGCAGGTATGGGGCACAGGCAGCCCGCCCATTGATGCCAACAAAGCATATGGGCATCGGGACTTTCTGCATTGCTTCGCCAGCAAAATTACTGCAATTGCGGCAGGTATGACATACGATTTAAACCCCCCCCCTTTTTGCCCCAAACCCAAATTCAACATGTTTGATACTCAGGTCCATGCTTAGTGAACCTCAAAAGGAGTTTTTAGACAACAACCTCCCAGAAAAGGCGATCGAACATCGATTTGCTTGCGAATCGTGTCACACCAGGATCGCTGCCTGGCTTACCCGTCCCCAAAAGCGAGCTAAAGCTCCAGCCACCGAGCGGCAAAACCGATTAAGCCCATGCCATGCCCGCCCTGCTCCCTTCGAACAGAAAGATAGTAGCTTGCCAGTATCAGGCTCAAAAAAACCAGTGGAACGCGTCTGTTCTCAAGCATGACCCCAAAAGGACACCTATTCTTCGAAAATCTTTGACTTTCACTAAAACCAAACATGGCCCTGCAATGGGAGCCCGAAGCGGGATCATGCGCTCGCTAATTAACCGCATCTGTTCGCTCGGGATACTTTGCGGACCTATGAGGCATCACAAAACTATTGGCTATTTCGCACGCAAACACCCACTTGCGGTCCCCCACACCGCCTTGGGCAAGGCCTCTGACTCCGCAGCAATCCCCGTCTCGCTCGAATCGCCAATGCCGGCCGAGAGCGCCTGGCGCCCAAAGGCACCACCCCCGGCAAAAAGTTCGCGCGGTGGTTGCCTCTAAATTGGGGGATAACCTCCCTCAATGTGTGGTTTTACTAGTTGCCTTAGAAAAATCCAGAATCCAAGGGTTCTCGAAGTTCGCTGGGGCGTGGATCCCAAAATCTTCCAGGAACCCTGACTCGAGGGCCTGCAGAGGATAAAACCGCTTCCACCGCGTCCACATGAAGCAGCTATTCTTCTCGTTGTTCAGGACCCCTCCCACTTGTTGGTACGCCTCTTGTAAGACCCTTGCCGTATTTGATTGATCAACCCTGGTCGAACAATAAGCAGGGTACCCCATTTGGGTGGATGGAGATCCTGCCAAATTCCTGTGATCTCAGTCAGGTGCCCGCCGGACAAAATCATTAAGGGGAACATGGGTCGTCCGTCCACCCCTCTCGCTCTCCTGCCAGTAGAGGACTCCCAATCACATGGTTATGAACTTTAAGAGGGGGCCACCTCAAAAGGGGCTGGTGGACATGACTCCTAAATGATGTCCACCAAAGGTTCCTCTATCAAAATTAGTACCCCTTTCAGACACTGGCAATTTTAGCCAAACGCCGCAAGAATCCCACTTAAGCGCCGAGCCGGCAAGTTCCAGAGCAGCATGGCAGAGACCACAAAGTTGACCACCAAGCACCTGGCCATTTCCCCCCCCCCCCCCCGTGGGCAAATTGGCCATGCCGATCTTCGCTGCAAAATGATCCAAAAAAGGTTCAAGCACACAGCTTAAGGCGAAGGGCCCTTTGCCATAAGAAAAAGTACAACCTTGCCTTCTTGGCCAAGGCTTTGCCGGAAAAAAAGCATGGCGGAAATCCCAAATCCGCCCGGGGTCGTTGAAAAGGCTGCCCAGGGCACGTGGTCGCCAGCGCCCACCGGAAAACATCGCTGTCCTTGACCGCCACGTAGGCGCCGCCTGCCGGGACCCGCAAGCTGCGTCTGCTAAGTGGCCCTGATCCGTCGCCTTACATCGAAGCATTGAGTCACCCGATGCCCCAAAGCCACTGCAATGCCAGGCGCCACGGGTCCCCCATTTGGCGAAAAGTTCGTGTGCCGCCTAGGGCCAACATCACGGAGAAGCGAAGGAAGGTCACAAAGTAGGCCAGGCCCTCTGGTGAGGCCGGGCGCTGCACACAGCAAGGGCCTCACGGGAAGCGCATGGCCTTTAATGGCCCAAGAGGGTGCTATAGCTCTGAATCAGAATGAGAGCCAACACCGGAGAGAATATACCCAGGGATATACATTTATTGGGGGAAAAGCTTATGGTGGACACATAGAGTCGACTCGGCTTCTTCAGACTCAGAGTATTGCGCTTTGAGGATGGTGTGGAGCTGCAAAGCAATATCCAAGTCCCAAGTATCCATATCATAGGGAGGCTCCCCTAAAAGAGACGAATCTTTCAATGGAACACCCCCAGATTGTCAACCGGGGAGTTACTAATGCACTATTGGAGTTGCGCGCGTTGGATTTGATGCGCGCGTTTCGAAGTCTGCAAGTTTGCCACTCCAAATAAACTCCTGCAAACACTGAAGGCAAGGCGTGAAGGAATGCATGATGCCTGGAAAGGGTGGCGCCAAACAAGAAACACACAAAGACACGGGCGCCAGGGACTTCAAGGCAGCTGGCTTACAAGCGCACGGGATGCAAAACACAAACCCAAAACCTGAATGAACCTGACACAGGGACGTGCCTGACAGACCATTCATTGCACTCTTGGACAAGATCTGCCAATGGGTCCATGGTGCCCGAATGGCCCTGAGTTTCCTCGATCGGACATATTTGTCCCTTCCCGTCATTGGACACCTCAAGGGCAGTCACTCTGTCCTTGGGCCCCGCACCCCAGCTCAGTTGTTCCCGGGAACTGGGGATCAAAAGCAAAATGAGTTCGTAAAAGTGACATCCTCACAGCTGCCCGACCAAACGGTCGCGTAAAAAGTAAAGCTTTCCAAGAACCTCCCAAAATGCCTCGTCTTGAATGGGCCCAGTACTAACACCTCTTTTTGGCCAAGTGGAAAATAGCAGGAGCACCGCGAGCCACCACGAACAAACGTGGGAAAACTCCAAACGGCCGGCCCAGGTCATAGCCGGGCGGCCCAGCCCGGGCATGCGCAGCGTGGTCTTCTTGAAGGTGTGGAGCCAATCGGGGCGACTCATCTCCAGCGCTTGGTCTCCCACCTGGTTGCCTCAGGCAAAGATGAAACCAGATGGCGCCCTTCAAAGGGAAAGTGTCCTGAACCCAAAGTGGGTCCCTTTCAGGAGAAACCCATGTGTTTGGGAAGCCAAAAGGAGGTTGAAGCAATGGCGGCTTGAAAAGGCAAGCCAGAGGCAGGTTGCTGAAGCAGCGGTTTCATAATCCACGGGGTTGATCAATCTACCCCCCCCCCAAATAAAAACCACTAAGGCTGGGAAGGCCCCTAGCGTGGTGTGCAAAGAGAGGCGCTTGAAACCATGCTTGGTTTCCACGTAGGTCTATCTGCAAACACTAGTTCACTCCAAACAAAGGAAACCAAAAGCAAACTTCATACCGCTCGGGACCAGCGACTTCTTCTCCGAGCTCACGAAATTTTGCGGGTCCCGGAATTACACTTTGGTTTTGTGTGTTTGCGTGTCACATAGGCGGTGTCTCAAACTATCATGTCCTTGCACTCGTAGCTCGGAAAGGCTCGATTTTTCTTAGGCCATTCGGACAGCTCCCGGACCCGACCACCAGCTAGCATGGGCCCCCTCCACTTACTGCGCGATCTGATCGCTTCGCCATGCTGCAGAAGCTGTACTGGAGGGTCCGGAAGGTCACCATCACGAAGACCATTGCCTAAATTCCGGGGCACGGGTCCCTAAAGAACGGCAGGGAAGCCAAAGGCCTCCCAACCCTTCGGGACAGGCACCTGAGGGGTTCTTAGAAACTATGGGGGTCCCACTGACTCTTTTGACAATAGGACTTTAAAGATTGAGGAACTTTTGGACAGCGCCCCTGGCACCCCCTGAAAGAAAATGTCTTTACTTTTTCCCATGGGCCGCAATGCCCAAAAGTCGCTGATGCTTCTCTTGAACATGGCTCCCGAGATTTCCAACCTGCAAATGATACGCACCAAAGGAAAGCTCTGCAGCAACAACCCCAAATCAGGTGGACTACTTTGGGATCCCACCACTATTCTAAACCGCACGTCTGGCTCGGTCTCTGAACACCCTGCCAAAGTTGAGCAGTTTCCTAGTTGATGGGGAAACTTGCATTTCGAAAGAAAGCCGAGTTGCTTGAGTCAAGGCGACCATCAGCCAAGAAATGGGCGTCTCTCAAAATATAGGGACCTCAAACATATTTTGGCTTTGAAACCAGCCCCCAACGGGCTACCCTCAACACGACGCGCCCAACTTGAGAACCAACTGCAATGTTTTCTTCATACATAAGTTGATTTGCCATTACTGCACCTCCCTTGAAAACCAAGAAATGCCGACTCCAGATAAATCAGCCCCACGGACTCATCAGGGGCCTTTCCACAGAACGCGCAGTCCTCCTGGTGAATTCTGGGCTTCCGTTAGAAGCGCGGCTTTCTGGGTGGTGAGTTGAGGGCGCCAAGATGCAGGCCCGGTGATGTTGGCGAAGATGAGGCCGCCCAGCACCGGGTACACCAGCAGAGCTAGAAGGTTACCTCTGGATCAACGGTCAAAGAAAAAAAAAAAAAACGAGAAAGAACAACTAATCCCACATGCACATGACAAGCGTTCACCCAAACTTATCTGGGTGTTTCTCTTTTTGTTGTGACATGTTGTGACCCTTGAGGTGGTTGGTCTCCTTTCATGGCTTCCCTATGACCTTGAGGTGCTTGCTTTTCCTTTTGGTTTTCCCATATGCCAGGGATCCTTACATTATACACCTGAACATTGCCTTGTAAATGGTGGTTTCCCTTTATTTTGGTGGAAAAAGCCATGGTTTCAAATGGGCAACATGTATCTTTTGAGGAGCCCTACCAACCAATAAAAAAGCACACATCCTGAACGGGGCCCCCTGTTTCCACCGGCTCCGCTGCGCCCGGGGCGCTGAAGGCATAGGCCCAAGCCGCCAGCCGCGCCAAGGGCCGCGCCGATGGCTCGACCCGCAGCAGGCGGCGGCAGAGCCACGGCGTGCACGCGGAGGCGAGGAACTCCACCTGGATCCGACCAGCGTGGTAGACCTGTGGCCCCCGGCGAAGCTGGCTTTCACTACCCCAAACCCGCACCCAGGGGGGGGAACTGGTCGCCTGAGGTGGCCCTGTGGCCCCCATCTGAGGTGCTTTTTTCACTAGCCCAAACCCATAAAACCATGAACCCGGGGGGGAAACAGCGTGTAGATCCTTTCAAGGATGGCTATCTAGTGGCTGCATATTTCATCAGCAGCTGGGGGTGGTGGTTTCGGGGGTAGTGAAAACCATCTTGGAGACTACTTTTCAAGACCTGTCGGTAAACCCAAAAAGGCTTGCGCATGGCACGCCCCTTGTAAAGTGGGTTGACGAGCAGGGAAGGGTATGAATACAGGGGTATGTAGCAATGTACTTCCCCCCCTAAACAAAGGTATTCTTGGAAGGGTTCTGAGAACCCCCTTTCTGGTGGGTAGGGGGCACTATTGCCACTACTTAATTAATAGGGAATCTTCTCGATGCCTGCTGCTTTAGGTTGCGCCTAGGTCAGGCCAAGGGCCTGGTTCGGATCGGCAATCTTTATCTTCCCATGCCCAGAAGTGGCTTTTGGGACCCATGCATGGCCCTTTTGAGCCTCACGTTGCCTTGCATGCTTAAGATCAAAAACTTAAGCACGGCGCATTCAAATTCTAGACGCCTACATTATGTAGAAAACCCTCCAAGTGATCCTCCCCTCCCTCCTTTGCAGTGGTCCAAAGGGCAAGCCATGTGCCACATGCCATGTGCATCCATGTGTGAAGGAATCTTGCTTTGGAAGGCCACTTGGGCAACCTTCAAGGGTGGCATTCTGAAATCCTGAACAACGTGTGCAACGCTGGCCTATCTATGTTTATTATATTTTATCTTTATGGAGGCAAGGGGGTAGGTCCAAGGGGTGGGTTTCCAGGGGGAAGCTCGGGGTTTCTTATGCGCGGAACAAAGCCTTAAGCCTCGAGTGCGAAAACCGTCACACGTTAGCTTTTGGGAATGCAAACTTTGGCACCTCTCCCTACGAGAAGTGGATCAAAAACCGAAAGGTTAAAAGGCTGGCTTTGAACAACCGAGATTTGCGGTAAGCACCATTTTGAAGCTGACACCCATTTGAGGCGCGAGGATCTCTGCGGTGGTGATGACCAAAGAGGTGATCAAGTAGCACCACCCGATGTCCTCTGCGATCAAAAGCGCCTCGTACCTGCGAGTCGAGCGCGCGTAAAATGTTCCATTTGAGCATCACCCCCACCAAAACACACCGGCGGGTCGGTTTACGTGGTGTGCTGCGTGCCTTTTTGTCGAAGCATGACTCTTTGAGGAAACAGCCTCAGGGACGCCCCGCTGCTCCAGCTCCAAAGTCACACCTACGTGCAAATGCAAATGTATGCGACGAGGTACAGCGCGGAAAGTGAGTTCTTCCGGCCACCAAATCACCGACAACCGACAACGTCTCTTCTGAAAAAGGGCAAGCTCTTGACCCAACCCTGCTCTATGCATGTGCGCTGCTTTCAAGTGCGTCCTGCACAAATTAACTCGCGCAAGCACAGGGCTCCCCATACTTCCCCTTAACACATCACCCCTACCAAGGGAAAGTCACCTTGCATGAGGCCAACAACTAATGTTTAAAACCACCAAATAGGTTTAATATAGGAAGGCCTGAAGCATGCCCGGCGGAAGCATGCCGGTACTTGCCGCGGCAAGCTCGCAACAAACACCATGTTGCCACCAAGTCAGGTCATAATCTCAAGTGAGCTCGTAATAATTCGCGCGAGTCGGCAGAATATGCCAGAATCTGGCCAGCAAAGCCCTGTACAAAACAGACGGACAAGCCCTGCTGTCTGCAATCCTGTTTGGACGTTGCTTGACTGGATAAATTAGGACTTCGGCATTGCATTAACCCGTCAAGTCGGATAAAATGCGGACTCGAAGAGGAACCCTGCAATCCAAGAGGGCCCCATCACATTTTTGCAGGTATCTTTCACGGGACCAGGTGTCCTTAAACAAATGACCTTAAAATTGCGCGATTTCCTCCGGGATTGTTCTGTTTTCGTTCAGGGCACCCACACAGCCAAGTCCATCCGAGGAGCTGGAAGATCTTTCCAGTGGCCCAGGACAGGGAGTCTAGCATGAAGATACCTATGCTGTGCGGGAGAAACCCGTTGCTTGGTGGCAGTGGGGGTGGCAAAAGGGCGCCAAAAGATCTCAAGGGAAGCGTCTCCGGCACCAATTGAAGCCAAGGGCCGGAATGGCAGAAAAAGGGCAACTCGTGAGCCAAACCATTTGAGGCTGGCACTGAACACCTGGGCTGGGCTGTCTTGTCCCTGGTTGATTGATTCAGCGGCGGGCAATACGTTTGAGCCCCCCGAAAGCAGCAGGTTGACCAATGCGGGGTCGGCATCTCGTCTTGAAATCCCCAGAGGTCGCACCCCTCCATTTCTCTGCTAGCCAATGGGAAACAAGGACCGTGCAGAGCGGGCGTTCGCAAGTATCAAGCAGCCCCCCGGAAGAGGTTGCCATCTCTCCCATGCTTTCCCTCTCACGCACGAACATGGCACCTGACGGTGGGCTGCTGGAGGTTTTCCTCTACGCTCCAACTTCCATGGCAACGGCTGGAGGGTAAGGATTGTAAGCCTTGTGCAGGAAATCCTCTGTTGGTTTTGGAGAAATCCAGCACCTATGAAACAATGAATCACAACTGGCAAACGCATCCTCAGGCAGTGTCGTCAACCACGAGCCAGGTCTGCTCCGAATAGTCTCCGGCCATTCAAGGTTCACGAGTGATGCTGACTTGTGACCCTGCATAGCAAGTAGTCCCGGCAATAAACAGAACATCCCCATGAATCAGGTCTTTTCGACGCAGGCTTGTCGAGCAAACATGCTAACCTGGCATAACTGTCAAGCCCTGTGAGGTGCCAAGATCGGGGCAAACTCTCCAGCCTGCCCGCTTGTAAATCAACATGAAACTGCCAAAACCGTCATTTTTAGGATCGGAACCTCTTTTTGGGGGCCCCCTCTTCCGGTTTTTTATGGTAATTTTTAACCCGTCCAAAGGCTAAGAAAAAAATCGACTCCACCTTGTGGGAATTGCCCACTTCATACCGCTGGCAGGCCTTCCCAATGACGAATTCGTCACAGCGGTTGCCAGAAAAACACAACATCTATCCCAAACGTACCCCGGGCAACCAGACCAGAGGTTTCCCCCCAGGCTCGCAAGTTTTCCAGACTCACGCCGGGTAGCTCAGCAGAAAGCGGCAGGAGAGAACCTTCTCTTCCGCCTGCGCTTTGCGGCAGCTTCTGAGAATGGTTTTTCGGTTCCGTGTGTGAATCTGCAAGACCTTAGGAACGCATCGTCTCCGCATGCCACCAACCCTGGGGCCAAACAAAATTAGCCTCAAAAACAGGGCTCTCTATATTTGCCTTGCATGATGCTTCAGACTACCAAACGTGATGTATATGATTGTTTTTGCAACACTGAGGCCTGAAACAGGAGTCGGCAAGGGCAGGACCTGCGTAGTGTCCGCATTATACCCCCAGGCGGCAGCGTGTCTGGCATCGGCCCGCCTCCTTCCCCTCCACGCCGACGATAACAGTGAGGGCCTGACAGCTGAGATTCGAGAACCGATTCTGCCAAACTGACCAGTCTTGGTTTCAACCCGTGGCATGTGGGGCATTTCTGTTGAAACCAAGGGAATCAGCTATCCCCCATTGCCCCTAAGATGGGGCCCTTGCGATTTCCATCAAAGGTGACTAGCTAGGCTTCTCCAGTCTCAAGACTCTTGCCCACTTCCCGCACCACAAACACAACACAAACAATGAAAGATTGCAACCCGCAAGAACTCAGCACAGCTCAAAATAAGGTGACTGGTCTGTCCCAATACCCTTACAAGGCTAAAAATATGGCCCCAGGGTCCTTGAAAAAACAACATGGGCAGACAAGTTGTTCGAACCTGTATTGCGGGAACCACCAAGCCGGGAAATTGAGCTGGAACCCTGCCAATGTTCTTCTAGAAGAGAGCCTAGTGACTGCAGTGAGTTCCATGCCCAGTGCAGCATGCCTGGAGCTACTCAGGGGGCAGCCCGGACGGCGATGAAAGCGGCGAAGCAGGCCAACTGCACGTGTTGGCTCTCCAGGAACAAACTCAAGGTCGGTTAGCCTGTTTGGAATCTCGGCTCAGCAAAGGCAGGCGGGTATTTGGAGGACGGACTACTTTCCTTTTGGGGAACCACCCCTGCCTACTTCCAGGATTGTTGGAGGGAGTGCAACGCACACCCTCAGACACCACCAGCAAGTCTCTCCTGCCTGCGCACCCCCCCCCCAAGCACGCCTTCAGCAAGCAGCCGACACCAGCGGGTCGCCTGCGTCCCGGCGACCCGAAGCTTCGGGTTCCAGGGAAGCCAAGTGGAAGCCACCCAAAATCGGGGGTCTCGCCAAGTCCTCCATGCTCGGGAAGTTAATGAGATGTCCCCTTCCCCCAAAAGAAATGCGCTTTAAGTTGCGAAAGGTGCTTTGGAGTCAACCACCATTTGAGCTGGAACCCTCTACACTCATTCCACATGCAAGCGGTCTTCCTCCAAAATGAAAGCTTAGACTTGGAGCAGCAAGCATACGTTGCATATCTTCGGATCGTTTTCTTTGCCACAGGAAGCGGCCTGCCTTAAAACCCCGTTTCCCGCACACTTTTTGAGGCTTCAGGAACTCACACACAGCAATTCGGATGCCCCTGGCCCAAACCAGTCTCTCGTAGCACCCCCTTTTTCTGACAGCTTTGCCGCTGTGCCCAGCTCTCCGCTCAGACACGTCGGCCATCTGCGCCGCAGCGCGCGCCCGACGTCCCGTTCTTCTTCGACGCTGGTGACTTACGCTCGCGACCGAGCAGCCAAAAGCGCCGAGGTCCATCCCATGGTTCAGGCCGTTCTCAGGGAGGGTCTATGGATCTCGCACGGACCTCGCAGACAGGGAGCGAAAAGCAGGCAATCCCCAACTTCACAAACGCGCGCTGCGGAGCTCGAAGACTGCAGCCACCAGTGCTGCTTCCTCGACCGCCACCAAACTGATGCCCTGCGCCGGCTGCATCACCAGCGCATCCTGAGCCCGGACCTTGAACCTGAGTCCAATACGACTTTGACCGGAGAGCTGTGCCAAGGGGGCCATCATATGGGTGAATCATGACAACCCTGAAATTTAACAAGCTCGGGCGATATCCCCAACAGCACCACACCCTCCCAGAAGCGGAACACCCCGGGACCATCCTTACCGCCGGTGTTGCTGAGGATGCCGCCTTGTGACTTTCTAAAGCAAAGCTACAGCGCGACGCCTTGATCGGGGCCCGACGGCGCAATCGACGGCGCAATCGGGGCCCGATCGGGGCCCGACAGTGCAATCGGGGCCCGATCGGGGCCCGACGGTGCAATCAAGGCCCGATCGGGGCCCGACGGTGCAATTGGCGCCCGATCGTCCCGTGGTGCAACCCCAGCCACTCAACGCCGGTTTTCCTTAGCATGCGGATTACAACTGTATCTATAGCAAAACTAGCCGATGCCAGCTTGGGCCCCGACAGTGCAATCGGGCCCCGACCTAGGCCCGGTGAACCTCGCAAGCCGTTCTCATGCAACTTTCGTGGGGCTCAGCGTTAAACTTTGTTGGAACCTTTCCTCAGGGCTGCCCCTTAGCTTTTGCAGAACCTGGTGGCAACCTTGTGGAATGTTTTTGGAACTTTACGTCATAGCCCTCGCAGCCTCGTGGAATTCTTGGAGCCCAAAGCCCACCAAGCAGCAATGCCAAGCATTTACTCTGCTGCACCGTGAGTCACGCAGCGACGTGATCTGACTTGCCACAAAGCCAACATTTGCCTGAGCAAGTGAGCAAGTCACAAAGCAGTGAAAATGTGCTAAAAGCCATTGATTTCGGTTTTGCTTAGTGTTCCGCCCAATCTTGATCCGATGGCTTTTCAGACGACGGGCGCTGCTTCCCTCCAGGGCAAGCCGTGGAACCTTGCAGAACCCTTGGTGGAACATTGTGGCGCCTTGTGGAACCCGTGTGGAATCGTTGCAGAACTTTGTGGAACGCTGTGAAACTTCAGGGCCCACAGCCCTCGCAGAATCTCGTGGAACCCTGAAACCCTCAGAGAACCGTACCTCAAACCACTCCGGACCACCCCGCAGCCCTCGCAGAACCTCGTGGAACCCTGCTAGAGCCGTGCTGGAACCTTCATGGAACCTTACCTTACAAAACCTGGTGGAATTCTGGTGGAACCCTCATGGAATCTTACCTCAAACCAGCCCGGACCGCTAACCCCGGTGGAATCCTGGTGGAACCCTGGTGGAACCCTGGTGGAACCCTGGTGAAACCCTCGTGGCTGGTGAAACTCTGCCCTCGTGGAACCTTACCGCAAACCACCCCGGACTCGCAGATGGTGGAACCCTGGTGGGACCCTGGTGGAAATCTGGTGGAACCCTTGTGGGACCCTTGTGAAACCTTCCTCAAACCAGCCCGGACCACCCCGTAGCGCTTGAAGAAATTGCTGGAACCCTGGTGGAACCCTCGTGGAACCTTACCTCAAACCACCCCGGACCACCCTGCAGCCCTGGCTTACCTCAAACCACCCAGACCACCCCGCAGCCTGGAACCCTGATGGAACCCTGGTGGAACCCTCATGGAACCCTGGTGGAACCCTGGTGGAGCCCTGGTGGAACCCTGGTGGAACCCTGGTGGAACCCTGGTGCTTGAACTCGGGTATTTCTGAAAATTGCGGAATTTCCTTTGGCTGGCAAGCCCAAGGGAAACCAGCTGTAGGCACATCCCATGAGCCAAACCCGCCATGGGCCACTTTGGTGGTTTGGTGATGTTTCCCAAAGGAGTTTCGCCCCGAACCACCCCGGAGCCTATCTGGGCTGAGACCCCAAAGCTTTCAGCTGTTGGGGAAAAATGGACCCAAGAACGGCACCTCCGTCATAGGGGGGGGTCGCAACAAGGTGAGGTTGCTATCATTTACCCTGAAGCAAGACAGGACCTTACAAATAAATTGTGGGCTCGCTTGATGAGCGACGGCAAATGGGTGGAATTTGGTGCAAACGCGCATCGCTGGCCAGTTCTGGCTTGTTCCTGGCTCAATTTCTAATTTTAATAGGAAGGAAGATTCACTGTTCCCCTAAATTCAACAAACTGGTGAACCAAATTCTCTAAATCTTATCAGCCGGCTCAAACTTTGTGAAGCCATCTATGTGAAATAGCTGTTTTTATGAGCGAAAGGAATGGGGAATGAGCTCCCAGAAGCTTGGGAAACCCGGGCCTTCTGCCCGTCCATTCCCTTTTGGCCCCATCCCCCCCTTGGGGGCCGGACCCATCGCCCCCGCCGTCGGCACGGCAGTCAGGGCACAGGCACAGCTTCCCGCCGACCTTCTTCAGGCGAGGGAAGTAGGCCGCGGCGCACCCAGACACGGCATAGAGGACCTCGGAGGGGGTCATCGCATTTGCCAACATGATGTTCTAACTTGCTGAGTGGATGGCCCAAAAAAGGTCCAAACTTTACATTTACCACTACAATGGCCTTCCCAAAAGTTTAAAGTTCATAAACTCAGGATGTGAATTTTGGAAGCCCGCGAATATCCAAGAATGGCAAGTTCGGCTTGCAGTTAAACCAAGCTGAACAAGGTACCTTCAATAAAAACAACCCGGTGGCCCGGCGGCAACCTCATACAGTAACTTGCTAATTAGGGGATAAGGGATAGTTTGCCCCCAGAGCTTGCCATAAAATGGACAGTACTGATTCAGAGCCATAGGAAGAGGACCCATGGGGGCCATTGCTGCTTAGCACTGGTGCCTACAAAGAACTACTAAGGGCCATGACTTTCGCATGGCTCCCCTTGCCATGGCTGTCACCCAGTGGTGGATCATCACTTCAAACCAAAGAATTGAGCACAAAGGTGCTCACCTTTGGAAACACGGGAGGGGCAGGCAGAAGGTCGTAGTGAGATCCCCACCCAATCGTTGCACCATTCAAGTTGGAAACCCAACTGAATTGCCAAGTTGAAATGTTTTATCGTCCAACTGAGGATGCATGACAAGCCACGCGACGAGTCCAAATGTGCGGTCGCTATAATTTGACCAGCTTGGCTGATACTTTGGGCGCCTGGTGGAATCCTTGAGGGGGCAGGGGTGGGCCAACGCAGCAACAAAACACCCAGACCTTTTTGACTCCGCAGGCTGCAGGACTCACTCTGAAGCCAAAAATGAAAAAGTCAAATACTCCCCGCGGATTCGCCTATTTTGACAGGCGCCCAAACTGAGTGAGACAGACACAACCCAAAAAACAACAACAAATCGGTCTGGGCCCCAGACCAGCACGCCCTCCTCCCGGATCTCCTCCACCTCCCCTGACTTCAGCTCCAGCCACCGCAGCCAGTGCCGGCCGCTGCTCAAAGCGCACAGCACCTGGCGAATCACTCAAACGCCCGTCGCCTCCTCATGGGTAGCCTCCACGAAGGCACCCGAGGGACCTGGAAGATCTGAGGCTACCCCTGAAAGAGGGGTTGAGCTGCTCACTTGGCTTCCCTAACCAAGCACTTCCGTGGGAGCGGCCGAACAAGTCCAAGCATTTTCTGCGCCGTCTGCGCGGCGTCCTGAAAATGAGGCCTTCATTGGGGCAGTAAGGTGGGGACTTCGTTGAGGGAAACGAGGCGAGGATGTACAGTAGGGGGAAGGCACAAATAAAGAAAGCCCTACTTGTTTTGGGTATCTGGGAACGGACCTTCATCCCATCCCGCGGCACGAGCTTGTTTCTTGACAATGGCAGAGCTTGCTCCTCGTACCACCCCCCCCCCGCTCCAGTTTCGCCTATAATTCAGCTCCAAGCAAGGTGTAATCAGGAAACAGACCTCAGCTTCTGACTTGGATAGCCCCTAAACAGTTAAAAGAATTCGCCTGACAAAGGCTGAGTGTCCCTTGTTTTGTGTTTATTTATTCTGGGGGGGGCCTTCGCTTCTTGCAACACCCTCCGATTTATTTGGGCGCCAGGGTTCCTTAAAGGCCCCCATCCAAAAACAACATTCTCGTACAAGGAGATCCCGTGTCATTTACTTTTCACCTACATCCGGTCAGTTGTCCCCGCCTGCGGGTCCGGGCCGGACGCATCAGACGCTTCCAGCACCTCATCGCCCTGCCAGGGTTAACCAAAAAAAGAAGCCCCTCTACCCACAATAAAGAACCCATGTTTTCCCTGTCAGTTCGTTGGCTGGTTTGCTGGGGGAGGTCTTTTTGGAAGAAAAGCACGGGTTCTCTGCATTGGAGGGTCTGCACTTTGATGAGGGAGCTCATCCTTAGACCCCCTGCAAAAAGTGGTGGTTGTTATGCTGTGCTTGTTGAAAGGGAAGATGAGGGAACATGCTCAACGAGTTGAAAAAGGCGAGCCAGCGTGCCGCTCGTTTGGATGAAACATGATGTTGTTTTCAGCTTGATCTACAAGTCAAGGTCTTTGCAAAGTGGCTAAGCAATATTTCGATAGGTTTGGGGGTAGCGAAACTTCTTACGGGTCTGATCCGCAGAAGGAGGTTCTATCTTCCCCCCTAAATGGCTTCACTTTTTGCTTGTCAGTGGGAAACGAAGACGCATGTTCCAAAAATAAATCGCTGAAATTCACAACTGAAAATAAGTACCCCAGGATCATGGCTTTCGCGTGTTTTACCCGCAGAAAGATCCAACCAAAATACCCAAGCATTTGAGTCTGGGCATCCGTCAGCCCACACACACACACACACACACGCTTGCCCTCATGGGGGTGCCTCCAGTGCCAATACCTCCCCGCGGCCAAGCGAAACCCTCTGCTTCAGCGCCCCAGGCTTGCCCCTGCGAGCGAGAAATGCAGAAGCTTGAAAAGGTTTCCGTCTACCGGAAATTCCACAAGTCCTTGGTTTTGGTGGGTATTTGGATGCACTTGGCCAATTTCCTGTAGAAATTCCTGGTTTCTGTGGCGCAGGTGAGGGGGAACACGCGGGCTTGTCTCAGGGTGCTGGGGCGTGGGGGTGGGGGCTGTTTCGACTCCCCCAACCCGGTCTTTTGGGCCCACAAGCCAAGAGGCAAAATGGAGGTTTCACAAAATTGGTGAGTCCGCATTGTCTAAACAGAACAACCTCACTTGTCCACAGGTGTCCTGGAAACTGAATTCAAAAGAACAAGCAAACACCAGTACTTTCAATCAGAGTGACATAAATAAGGAAAAAACATCGACACAAGGTCTCCTTCCTTCCCTGAATATCCGGATTCGCCCCACATGACATGAGCGAAGAAAGCAACCTTTGGCCGCACATGGGCACCCTAGATTTATATTAATGACTTCGGAAAAGCACGAATTTCTTGGTGGGAAAACTTGAGCCACTGCAAAACCGGTATGTGCCCAACTGGCATACCTCAGAGTACTATTTTTAAGGACTCACCTTCGTTTTGGGCTTTTGGATCCTTAGTTTCAAGTCGTTTTATGCCTGTTTTTGTTTTACCATACAAATCCCATATACGGACCCATTTGGTGATAGCTCATTTTCAAGTCCCCGATTCTTCCTGGAGAACTTTGTCAGCGCGGGCCCTCCAATGAACCATACGCAAATCCAGGAACCGACAGAACCTCAAAAGGGGTTGCTGCATGTGTCAAACCAGGGGCACATCCATTCCGAAAATGGGCGGCTTCCGGTTTCCCTTTGGGCTTCCCTTTATTCCAACCCCAAAAAAGGGTAGCCTCCTCTCTTTCAAAGGAATTCGTCTTCCGGAACGTCAGGCTCCATGCTCAAGCAGAAATAACTGAGAAAGGCGCGCTTCGCCGTCTCGGCTCTTCGACGCCTTGTCAGCTCTGCGGCCGCCAATGCACAGAGGCTCCTCTGCTTTGAGGTGGGGCCAAGCCCGCCGACTCCAAGGGACACCTGCCCAATTCGCATGGAGAGACCGAGGGGCCGGTGGATGCAACCGAAATATGAAGCGGAAAAAAACATGTACGGGAACCTTGCAACTAGGTGCGATCTTTCCAAGAGCTTTATCGTTGGACCTGGATGTGGCTGATTCAATTCGCAATACCTGGAGGACCCAACGCAACCCCAGGACTCGAAGAGGCACTCACAAGATAGGGCCAGACATGGACACATCGCGGGGACCTCACGAGTCGTTGCTTGGAGTGCTCATTGGCAGAATTCCATGCTTTTCTCTGAGACGTGTCTTTCATCTGCAGAAACAACGCTAACCCACGACTTCAAACCCCTGCCATTGCTTCGGGATCCAAGGCCGGCGCCTGCCAAATCACGTCCAGCCCTTCGCACTCCGGGTATCTCGCCACCAGCTCTTCGGCCGAACCCTCCTTGCGCTGGAAGTCCTCTTGTAGCACATTCCTCACGGTGAAAAGATGGCTGGGCTCGGACTGCCAAGGCACAGGCGAACTGAGAAGGCGCTACACCTGGGTGAAAGTAGATGACACAGCTTAGCCATGCTGGTTCCATCACCCTCGTTACTTGCCAACATGAAGGGAACTGCGCCACATGCTTTCACCCAAGTGTAAACGTATGACAGCAAAAACAATGGAAGTGCACAAACTCCTTTCCAAGGCAATCTTCCTTGTCCTTGTGGACAAAAGGCGTGCGCACGAAGCCATGTGTCAGGTCGACTTGTAGATGTTTGCTGGTCTTCTCCAAAACTCAATTCCCAGGACCTGGAAATGGATGGTTTAACGCATTGTATCTTCACGTCTTCATCATCTTTCAGCATGAAGGGAGAAAGTCAAAGACCCCCAACCTCCAAGAACAGGTTCGTGGAAGCTGCTTAGAAGAAAGTTCTGGCCGAATCTGGCCGATGGGTTCCCATTCACCTTTGTCTGATGTACAAATACGAGCCATCAGCCCGAGCCCTCCTCACCGACTTGGCCGGCGCCCGCGCCCGCGCGCGCATTTGGCGCATGGCAGAGGGGCCCTTGATCCTCACTCCCACTCTCCTGGCAGTAAACTTGGGTGGTCAATAGGGCGGTCGAGTCTATTTCATCCGTTACCCTTGTGGCTGCCATGAAGCTGAACACGCTTGCGTGCAACGGAATGTGTGTGATGTTTCTATATGCAAGTGAAAAACACATCTGAACACGTGACATGTGTGAGTGTGTGTGTGTGCACATCTCGAGATGTTCTGTACCTGAAGTGGGGGATTGCATCAGTGGCAAGAAGGGTTCCTGGACAAGCCATCCCACCAATGGCCCCATTTTACATCTCTGATCCTGACAGAAAAGAACCGTCTTGTGAAATCACGCACCCTTCCTGAAATCCCCTATGAGACAGACTGCATCCCAGCTCTGCCTGCGGGCCACTGACTTGGTGGTGTACAAAACCCTGAAACTCGCAGCTCGTCCCCTTGAAGTTGCCATCGGAATCAAGGATCATGACACAGAAACCCTACCCCAACGGGGAAAAAATAATCATATCCAACTTTAACGGGCATAAGCCTGACGCAAAACAAGCAAAATAAGGCAAAAGGGGCCCTTTGAGGAGGTAGGCTCCCAGCTTACATGTCCACAAAACAAAGTCAACAGCCTGTGCCTCACGAGTGACCGTAGCTAATGTCAATTAACGGCGAAAATCGACCTTGAGTTCAGTGTCCCTCTAATTGGTGGTTTGCGATGGTGGTTTGGAGATCAGGGAGTGGTTTCCCATCTACCCTCTACAAGGACCAGGTGACCAGGCGGTTCACATCCTCAAGCCACCAATGCAAACCACCAAATAGGGGTTGCCTGATTTGTGGAGTTCCCACTTCTCGCTTGCTCGGATCCGGAAATACGTCTTAACCTTTTGCTTGGCAAACCTCGCGGCACGACCCTCTCGCCTCGGCAACTCCCTCGGCTTCACCGCATCCTGGCGCAGGCTGGCTGCCGGGCGGGCGGGGGGTATATAAGCGCTGGCCGGAAGGGAATACAACTGGTTGGTTTGTGTGGTTTTTGGGTTTTTGTTGGCAGCCAGCACAAAGAAACACATGGTTCCCTACATTATGCCCCTTAAAACGGCACGCCTACCAAACAAAAACTCACCTTACAGGGGCTCAAGGTGATGTAAAACGGGGACATGTGGCCTCCTGTCAAAGACTTTGGAAGGCCAGAGAAGGGGCTTGGCCAACCTTGGCGCCCGTTGATTGGATGGATTACAGCTACTTTTGTGGAAAGAAAAGCCTAGCCTGGAAGAACATCCTCGCGGCAAAGGAGCTGAAGCAAAAAACATCATTGGATCAGGACTGCTGGGCTGGCACGACTACCTTGCGCGACTGAACTGCTAAGCATGTGTTACGTTTCGGTGTTTGTCTCGGCTGAAGCTTTGAGGCCGACACTCGTTAGCGCCCGGCCAGCATCCTTCCGTCGACTGCAGCCCTTGTGTCCAACATGAGCAACATGATCAGCAACCAACACCCAAACAAGTGGGGGCGGTGCAAAACGGACACTGGCGCCGGGGGTCGAACCGCTTCCAGCAAAAGGTGAGCAAGCATGTCTCGGGGTGGGACCCCATCGAGGACCCCATTTTCCACAACCGTATCGCTGGAACCGGGTCCATCACAGCGACACTTTTGCTCTAAGTGTGTGTTAAAGGTCTGTGACCGCGAATAGCAAATTAGAGCCCCTCAAAACGTCTTTCAGGGATCAGGGATCGGGCTGGGTGTTGGTGTTCGCTTGATCGTCAAAATAACCTCACACCAAGATAAATCCGATGGGAATTGGATCCCATGATCTTTTAGTGGACGTGGAACGAACCGCCCCGCCTGGAGCTTGACCGCTCCCAGGATCTGGGGAACCACCTCCTCGTTGGCCAGAGACATGGCGACCTCAACCATTACGCCCACAGGAACCCCCAACCCAAAGAGGAAGCTGGTCCGATCCTACTTGTGTTTTCCAGCTGCCTCTCTTGGAGGTCCAAAAGGGAAATTGAGGCACCCCTGATGAATGCCGCTATGGGCACGGGGGAAAAATCAGGTTTGTTCCATGAGACACCCAGTGAACATAACCCCATCAAAAGGGGGTTGCAAAAGGGCCCACATCCTCCTGGACAGCACGCCTGAACGTTGGCTCAACCCCCACCCCTTGCAACACTGTCCTTGTGGATTGTGTAACATAACGCTTTCTGTGATACCGCAGCTAGCAATCCCTGTGACTGTGTTGCCACTTTTGAAGGGATTTTCTTGGCATCACAGAAAGTGAGAACCTAAACCCCGATTTCCAAGAACCACGTCATTGATGGGCGGGAATTCCACATGTCCATCAGGCTAAGGCCCATCTTCATAACGGACCCGTCGCTTTTTTGAGCAGGGAGCCCCAAGGAACACTAGTGGGAGGGCGCCTTCCCTTTGATATCACCCAAAGTGGAAGGAAAGAGGCCCGCGGGTAACCACGAAAAAGCGTGCACGGGTAACCGCGAAAACGCGTCACGAAAACGAAAGCAGCAACACGTGACTAGCAGCAACACCGAAAAGACTCCCAGCAACTCAGAAACGCCACATTTGATCACAGCATGTCACATTTCTGTGGTACCAAAGTGGGCAACCCATGTATCATGTCATTTGGTCACTGTTCACCCCATCAGCCTCTTTGAATCCTTACTACCATCGTTTTAGTCGAAAGACGTAAGATGGTACCAAACCTTGACGCAAGGGTGGTCCGGTAGCCCATCCAAACCAAGCCCTCGTTCCAAATCCCAGGCGCAACTCGCCGCGGAGCTGCAGCTGCAAAGCCGCGGCTCAGTGATTGACGCCCGGGGTAAGCCGCTTACCACTCAGCGCTACTCTGCCTCGAAGAACTGCGCGTATAAGTCCGTGTAAATAACTTACTCGTAAAAACCTGTACACTGTTGTATGTGTATGTTTGTATTATGTGTATATATAGAATACATATGTTGATTTATATATTAACATCTGTGTGGTCTGTATGTATACTTATGAATACAGGTGCGCGTTGTCTCAAGTGAACCTTCAAAGTAGGTGCCTTGTTCTTAGGAGGAGGTCAGCCATGAAGTTCATTCTCTCTCCGAATCGGTTGTGTGCCTTTTTGAGCTATCGGCATCAGAGCCATGACTCGGGTCTTGAAACTAATCATCATGGTAGCAGCCTGGGCTTGAGCCAATGCTGACGTCGACAACCTTGAAATCCGACGGACAAGTTCTTGCCTCAGCCTACCAGTAGGGAGCAGTGATCCCCAAGCTATCAAAACAAACAAGAATGGTGCCACAAACAAGCACCACTCCATATCACTCCCCTCCGTGAGTTCACAACATGCTCCTGCTCAACTTCAACTGTTCTTAGAAAAGCGCTGGCATCGCCTTCCATGTCGACATGTGACCACACGAGACATCGGCACTCCTTTTGCAACATAGGTGCCTTCGACACTTTGGCCGAACTATCACTTCCGCTGTCCACAGCAAGTTGGGAAACCCTCAGGGCTCTTGCTCCCTTTCAGGGCTCATTCTCTTTCGGACCGCCTATCTGTCCAATGGTAACGGACAACGCCATTCCTGTGACACCGAAAGGGCGTGCCAAACCCCCCCCCCAGGCGCGCTCACTGTAAGCTCGTCCAGCTGGCATCACAGAAAGTGAGAGGTCTTCTACAGCTGCATTCCAAACGACCTCTAATCCGACGGGAACCATGTGGCCGGGTTGAACATGCTGTGTGCGGAGCCACAAACAACTGGGCAGTACAGCTCTGCCGTCACGTTGTCGGCAATGTACTGCAGCATCCTGAGCCCGGCAAACAGACAAACAAACAAACAAAGAAAGAAATAAAGAAATAAATAAACACACAAGGGGGAAAAGAACAAATGATCAAGCATGTGTTTGAGGGCCACACAGATTGTGCTGTTTCTTCCTATTCCTGCAAAAAACCGCCGGTAGCTCAAGTTGCCATAAGCGCCATGCTCAAAACTCCTGACTTTCCAGCTCTTGCTGTGCTGGCATCACATGAATTTCAGCGCACTAAAGATGGACCAAGCGTAGAGAACCATCCACAAGCGGTTCGAAACATGGCGAGAGATCTGGCTTTGGGGAGCATTGGGAAGAGCTAAATCAGATACCCAGGGTATAAAAGCTCTCATCCCCACCAATCCAAACCACTAGTTCAGGGCCCAGCGTTTGCTGCTAGGGGGTCTTAAAAACCTTGGGCCACGGTTCAATTTTCCACAGGAGAGAAAACACATTGCCATCTCTCTTTGGCTTCCTTGCTGGCAAGTGAACATGTTTATCTGCTCACCCAAATTGGATGCTTGACACCCAAAATTAGTAGTGACGCCACTATCCCACCTCACCCCGTTCCACTCAAATCCCATTCCCTGCAACCATGTCTAGGGTTGGTCTCCCTGTCATTTCCGGTGCCTCCCACATGTAGCCACCAATTGATGGGAACCTCAGATTCACAAACCCTGGCTGAGTTTGATTGGGGGGGGGGTGTCCCCAGTCAAAGTCAAGACACCCCCTCGGGTTCTACTTTGATTCGAGGTCAAGGCGCAGGTGGAAGCTCGGGCGCACGGTAATGGCCAACGGGCCCCGCACCCCGACCACCGCGGCGCCGTCCACGGCGTCCTCGACGAGACGGCCCACCAGGAAGAAGTCCTCCCAACCGATCCGTGGGGGCAAGCAAAACAACACCAAGCAAGCAAGCAAGCAAGCAAGCAAGCAAGCAAGCAAGCAAACAAAATTCAAATCAACAAAAACAAAAACATAATTGCAACATGTGTATATATATATGGCTGTACCAACCAACTATTCGGAATAAGGGCATACCTCCAAGTCAAGGACCTGCGTCATCGGGTGGACTCCAAGTGAGCTTGCCCTCAAATGGGCATATGCACACACAAAGAATATACGTGCACATATATTTGCACATACACATATGCATACACCTAGATGTATGCAGTATAGACTGGCGGTTTCAACCAAAAATGGTGCGAATGTAGGGGGTGCAGGGGAGAAATGATCACTTGTAGCCAAAGGACCTGGAAATACATTTGAGAGGGGAACATTTTTTTGCCCCCCTGCATCCCCTGAACTAGGGTGGGAGGGTCAGGGTTGGAAAGCGGCCAATGGAAATACAAGGTGGTCATGGCAGAAAGGTTGGCTTTCACCTCGTGACTGTCTGCTGCTTCCGCTTTTGTTTTTGGTTGTCTGAACTCTCCTGGTTGACTCCTCTTGGCCTCTCTGCAAGAATGATTCAAGATTCGGGGCGTCCTATCTTGAAACACATCCAATGATGCAAGCGATGCCTTTCACCAGCTTTCCCCGGGGCATGTTTCCGAAAAGAGGATGGCTGAAATCAGGAGGGATTGAAGCGCATTGGGTCATGTTAGACTCTCATACCATGGAAGACACCCCAGCTGCCCCGGAAGAAGGTTTGGGCCGGGCGCCCCGAATGCCTGTCAGTGTTGCTCCTGTACCACTCGCTTGCACCAGTCAAGTGCTTACGACCCGTGGAGGTTCCCTTAGCAAACTGCCCTTGCGCCAACTTGGACCATCTGTCCTTGAGATTGGCATCCATCGTGCCTCGGAGTCTTTGCCCGCGATGGGCTACGGCTCCGATCCGATCGAGTTAAGTAGCACAGGTGGCCACTCCCCGGCCGGTTGGTTCAAACACGTGGGGAATCATGAATAAAACCTTGTTCATACATTCCTTGCAGGGGCGAACATCCAGACACTTCCCTTGTTGGGACCCATTTCGGCAAGCCGCAACCCCCATTTCACACATTTCCGGGGGATGGCGCCGGATGGCGAACGAGTCGCGAGCTTCGGCCAAGGCGCGCAGGGAGAGCCTCAGCCTTGAGACCGCCTTGGACTTCAGCACTTCGCCCCCCAGTCCTGGCACTGGCGGACCAAAGGCTAGGTCCTCCAGTGGAGAGGGTAGAATAAGGGTACCTTTTTTTTCTGTAGTCGATTTTAGTAGGGGGAGCCTCTCAAAAAAAGGTCAAAGGGCAGTACTGGGGGACCTAGAAGGCGCGGCTCAGCCCACGTCGTTTTCGGCAGTTGAAGCGACCCAACGTGGGAGTCCACAACTCACTTGCTGAGTGGATTGGTCAAACAGGTCCAGCTGGACCTTTGTTTGCCACTAAAATGGTTGCCAAAAAGTGTGAAGTCCGGAAACTGCGGGCAAGCAGGCAGAAGGGGTGCAGGGCTCTTGCCCGCGACACTCGGGCCTTTGAACATGGTTGCTCCAAGCGCAAAGTTCCATCCATTCATTAATCGCGCGACCGCTCATGGTGTGCACAAATGCATATACAAGTACATCAGATTGCACATGTGCACATCTATGTATCTATACACACATATAAATATATAATACTTATATATACCCAGAACTTCCTCGGCCATTAAATAAATGCCCTTGGGACAACGGACATTTTTTGCTCGAGAAGGGACATTTTTTGCATCCACTATGGAGGCTCAATTTCTTCGAGTGCTCTTATCAGGGCACATTGACGATAGACAAACCATAGACATACCGTAGACATATCATAGACATACCACAGGCAAACCATTCGGGAAAACCATAGGCAAGCAAATAACCGCTACGAAAAGTACGGTGTAAGTCAGGGGTACTTGATTCCGCAGAAGGGGAAACACATTGCAAAATCAGGATATTCACATCAGGTCGAGTCGTAAAGCCGAGATTTGTTGAACTCGTTGCTCGTTGCTTGTGACCGAAAGGGACCGTAGACAAACCGTAGACAACCCGTAGACAACCCGTAGAAAGTACATTTTCTGCCGTGGAAAGTACATTTTCTGCCGTAGAACGGCCATTTATTGCCGTAGAAAAGACATTTTCTGCACATCCCGTTTTTGCACCATTTTGGTGTTAATTCGCGGCACGTGACTTCACAGGACTTTGTAGCTCTTTTCTGGCTTGGCAATTGCCAATATGCATGCATGGATCGATGGACCAGTATGCAGAAATCAAACAAACAGTTCCCGAGCCGTGCCCCATGGCTGACGTTGGCAAGTTTCTGCAGAAGGCAGTGCGAAGCGCACGAAGCACTCTCAAGCTCGGCAAAATGGGACTGTGCAGCCCCCTCCAGCTACTTTTAAGTGCGATTTTCGTGAAAATCATGATCCAACCAAATTTAAGCAAAAAATTGCCTTTTCCCAGAACATGTACTTTGCCACCTCGGCCATTTATTTAATGTCCTTTGGAAGTCTAGGGTATCTATATATATATATATGTATGTATGTATGTATGTATGTATGTATGTATGTATGTATGTATGTATGTATGTATGTATGTATGTATGTATGTATGTATGATGCATCCCTGGAACGAAAGAAACCAACCAAATCAAACGAACCAAACCAATCAACCCCGACAAAAAAGCAACATCACACAACACAAGCTGAAACAACAGCGCAAGCAGCAACGGCAAAGCCAACCTCCACCGACGCCCCGCAGTACGCCTCGCCCTTTATGGACCTTGATGGCCCCGAAGAGTCACCAGGCTGCGAGCATGCGCATATGCATATATAAGATGTATATGTATATATGTACATATAGATCGATAATAGGATGTGAAGCACTACAAGCTTGGCCCAAATCTGGGTGCAAAAACAAATGTGGTGTTCAAATTCCGGCCTATATTGAGCCTACCCTAAAATACAAAACGAAATAATAATAAAAACTGGAGACCAAAAGCATCATCGTCTGTTTGATCAACATGCTCACCTCGCTTAGCAAACCCGCCTGAGGTGGCATTGCCGGTAAGGCGAAAGATCTCTTGGCCCGTGCTTCCCTTCTCGCGGATGCTCAGATCCATTGCACCCAGCACAATCTCCTGGGGCAGCCTGGGGAATGCAAGGGCAGCCATTTTCGCGATCCACTTGGGTTTGTGCATTTTTGGAAGGAACCCTCTTTGGGGCCCGTTTAACGGGAAACCAAACAGAAAACCATTTTTTCAGGGCACCCCTACATCCTGTTTTAACACATGCCCGTTTGGAGACAAGACCCACTGGAAGCCGTCAAACCAACCCGCCCCCCCTTCCCAGACAGCCAGACTCTCCCCCGCCTGCCCCTGCCCGCTTCCCCCCCTTCTGACGTCCGGCCGGGGCGCGGGTTGGCGATTTCCGCCAGCACCTGCATCTGCACAAGCCCCACCTGCGCCTCGATGCGCCGGATAAAGTTCCCTTCGGGCGGCCGAACGCCTCGTTTGCGCGCACAACAAAACTAAATCGCGACTGGGAAGTGTGGGGGGGGTGGGTGGGGATCTATGTCCAACAACATTTTAGGGGTTCCAACTCTTAAAATATATTTGTGGAGAACCTTGACACGAAGCAGCCATCGGAGCCTTTGATTAAGCATCCATGCGATTTTGGAGCGGAGAAAACGGGGCAGGGCGGGTGCGTTGGGGTGAGGAAAGCGGTCGGGAGTCCAAACGGTGTCAATGGGAAAGTGAGGAAAAGTGGGGGAATGTGAGGGAACGCGAGGGAATGTGAGGGAACGTGAGGGAAAGTGATCTAAGGGATCCTTCTTTTCAACAGGAAAACATTTGACTTTTCTGCAAGAGATTGATAGATTGATATGGTCACCTTGACTTTGGCAACAAGGATGGAGGCCTATGATTTGTACCGGGCACTACAACATGCTAAATTGCCTTGGGGAGTTTTCGCTGAGCGGCGGAAGGGCAGCTGCAAACCATCGAGCAGTGCCGAGAGGAGCGGGTCTTGGCTCGACCTGGCACCGGAACTCATGGGCTGGAACTGGCTTCATTATTTTACCATGATCAAAGTCACCCCCTTGGTGGGTTGAAGGGAAATAACGCAATTTTCCGACTTTGATAACCCCCAGAAACCGTCAAAATAATGACCCCAGTGGAAGTGCGCCATCTACCAAGTCAGCCAACTGGGAAGACACGGGCGTGCCTTTTCTCAGGGGAACCCCCGCCTGCCGGAGCCGCTCATCGTCACCGTTTGTAGCTCATGACGCACGTAGCCCAGCACAAAAGCACGCACCGCCTCCGCGTTCTCAGCATCCTCCCGCAGGGTGAAGCGCGCAGTAACCGCGTTGCGGCCTTGGGATCTGGGCCCGTGGAGGTTCGCAGATGTATCCAAATACTGCTTCATTCGTGGCCCCTTGATCAAATGCTCATCCGGGTGATCACGGCGGTTGGGACAACCACTAAACAAAAACGAGGGACCAACATGTGCCATCGTACCACTGAACATCTGTCCTTTTTTGAGGGTATCCCCATTTTGGAGTGGTTTCAAAGGAAACAGCTTCGAAAAAACCACCATGCTGTCTGGGCAAAATGTTAGACGCAGCATTCACCGAGCATAAGGAAAACCCCACGGAACGCGCTGTCGCTCAGATGGCCCCGGAAGGACTGCGAGCGGAAGAGCGGCCGGGCTGAAGCTTCACCCCGTGCACCAAAGCCGTGCCGAAGGAGCGGTTCCGCTGGGTGATGTCAAACCTGAACGCAGACAAGACCGGCCAGAACAGGGTGACTGAATCTCGCGCCAAAGTGGGTAAAGCCAAATGCCTGGAAAGTCGGCTCGCTTTGGGCAACGCATCAGTTTCTTCTAATTGGTGGTTTGGATTGGCCATCCTGTTGACTTGATCGCGCTCTTAAATGGGACAGCCCGGATTCATCAAGCAGGCATCTATTCACCCTGGCTTCCCGTTTAAACAAAACAACACCGAACTAAGAAACTCAATCCCCCAACCTCCCCCGCCCCTTTTTCCCCCAACCTGCCCCCCCTCCCCCCCCACAACAAAAACATGGCAAAGTCCACCCGAGGCGCTGCAAGGGATCCGAAAGGCTGGCCGCCAGGTTGGAGGGGTTGAAGATCTGGATGGCCACCGAGGTCTCGAGGCCTCAGGTCCCCGCCCCCTCCCAACCCCCCCCCCCCACACCAAAACGAGACTCGGGCGCGTGCGCCAAAACGAGGAAATTTGGGCGTGGCGTCCATACAATACTTGCCTTCTTTCACTTTCGCGCTTAGGCCCTGCATTCGCGTAGGCGTTTGAGGCGTTTTGCGAAGGCCTTTTTCTAGCAGTCCAGAGCCTTGGAGATCCGTGGGCGGCTATCATACCCCCGCACCCCCCATCTTCGAGCTGGAGCTGCCAACGTGCAATTGCTTCGTGTACTGCGCTTGAACTGGACTTCTGCCCCGTAGAGCGTAGGCTTACGGGCTCTGCGTAGGTGTGCGAGTATCGAGAAGGCCCTGAGCCACCAAAAGACCAACGCTTACATTTGTGCAAGCTCCGTCGAGAACTACACGCAGTTTGCGGAGGACTGGAAAGGGAAACAAAGGCCTCACCCACCTCCACCCGCCCTCCATCCCGCCGAATTGTTCTTAGAACCTTGGAAGTGTGATGTGATTGTTTGCGGGGGGGATGGGGCATTGAGTGGTGAGCTGCTCCTTGTTTCCGGTGTCACCGGGCAAACGGGCATCTTGGGATGTTTGTACCCTTCTAAATCTTCCTCTCTCCCAAAAAGGGCTAAATACTCATTGTGACTATGGTCAGTACACAACAAACCCAAAAAGCCGCTATAGGAAACGGGTGTGCGTGCTACCCCTGTGCTACCCCCTCAACAATTACATGAGTAGTCCCTGGAATTATCCATGAAACAAAAACAAACACAGAGGCCTCTGCCCCAGTAGCAGCGAGAAAAGGTACAAGGCAACCTGCACTAAAAACCAACACAGCCTACCTTTCGCCACGTGGAAGCCTTCAACCAAGGATTGGGCCGACGCCTTGCTTAAACATCTTTACAAGTTCGAACAAGAAAACCTCAATGTTCCAAGTTGTGTGTTTCTTCACCCTCTTTCCGACATTTATGGAAGTGGACAAAAGAGTTTTGGACGGCTACCAACCTCTTGACACGGCCGGTTTCACCTGAAATCAGTGGAACCCACGTACCAAACTGTCCAAAAACGGACCCCATCCCTCCCCAAGCCCCCCCCCGAACTGTGGCCGCCTGGCCGGGCCACGGTGCGGATGGCCCTCTGCCTCTTTGATGTCCAGGATGGTCACCGGGTGCCTGCGGACTTGCGCTGGCGGGCTGAAATCCAGGGCTTCCCCTGAGGGGAAAATCGACCGCCCCCTTAAAATAATCCAGAAGTGGATGCAGGACATTTCGACATGGCAAGTGTTCCCAAGGGAAGTCATGACTAGGCAGGGTCCATGGTGGATTATCCCAGGCAGTTGCTTTTGGTTTTCTCTTTTTTTGTTCGAATTATCCACGGGCTCCATTTTTGGAGTAGGATGGTGACCAGCCCTAAGCAAAAGGGAGTGTTGACCATGGTTCGTCTCAAAACACTGGAGTTGCCTTTGGAATCCCTTTAAATCACCAAAAGCGCACCAGCAAAGCAAAATATCCTCTCACATTTCCCCCCCCTTCATATCACCTGGAACAGACTCACTCACACTTGGCTAGGAAGGTGACATCACAAACCGAAAAGGGGACTAATTGGAAGCACTAATTGAACACGAGAAACCGACCGTCATAGAAGTGGGCTTCGGGGCCCGTCCTTAAACCACCATGCCCCCTCTACTTGATTTCCTTTAATTTTAAACGGGGCTTCACAACAATCGCCACTAAAACGCTTCCTTCAAACATGTCTCCGTTTTTGTCAGCAAGCGAAGAACCCTCCCAATTCTTTCGACCAAAGGCTGCCCCTTCCGATTGAGTGAATTGGCCCAAAGTCCAAGCTTGTTGTTTGCCACTTGGGCGGTCCCAACTAGCCCTAAGTCCAGCAGCCAAGGGAGTAGAGCACCAAGCTCAAACAAAAGATAATCCAAGGCCCCCCCCTTACAAGTTTGTTGATGAGCATGGCAGCAAGGGGGTCAGAGAGCCACAATTAGTCGGAACAGTTCTGTTTAAAAGCAACTCTAAAAGGAAATCCGCGCCCCAGCCCACCCCCAACAAGCGCCACCAACCTGCAACCCGCGCTTCACGAAGCGCGCCTCGCTTGCGCGAAGCCCGCGAGGCCCTTGAGCTTCACCGCGCGATGAAACGGCAACTCCTCCAGGCGCAGGGCCTCGCGGCCCCAGAGCCGCACGCGGACCTCGCTGCTCGGCTTCGCCAATTGAACCGGAGGCCCGTGTTCGGAGGCAAAAGCGAAAAGATGGGCAGAAGGGAATGTGGAACGAAACCTCGGGATCCAAATTCTCCCTGGAAGGTCGCAATATAACTCACCCCTGGAAGGTTGTCCATCTCAAAAAATATCAGCCCATGAAAGGTTGCGAGGGGAATATAGGATGAGAAAACTTGACTCATTAACCACGGGCCCTGTTTGTAGCCACGGCACCTCCAGCAGGCCCTCAACAGCCCACTGCGACTCGGCCTCGCGCACCGCTCGCTGGCCTGCGGTGCGCGAGTGCCTACCCCCGCCCCCCTTTCAAGCGCTATTGGTTGTCAATGACTCGGCATCCCTTGGTCTTGCTGGAAGGTCTTGAAATGGAGCCAGAGATGCTTTCACGTCAAGCTGAGCCACGTGAAGACGGGGCATGTAACACGCATAAGCTCATGTTGGGGGCCCCTCCCCTCTCACCGCACATTCGCTGCGTTCGTGTCGATGCGTGCATGTTGACGTCCCCTGACATCAGATGCCAAGGAGGGGCCCGCTTGGGTTGGAGGCCCGTCATGGATGTAACACCTCAAACAACCAAAGAAACACACGGAATTGCGAGAAAAAACACACACATATATATATATATATGTTGGACAGCCCCTTTTGAATTGATCTCGCCGCTCTCTGACCGGAAAGCCTCACCTGTTCAACCTAAGCAGACAAGAAGGGGAAAGGTGTACTCTTCCAAGAAGAAAAGCCGAAATGCAGCAAACACCTCAGGAAACTCTGTTCCTCGCCCGTTCCACATTGAACGTTCAATCCGTAAAGCAAACGAACCTTCTGCCCGAAGCACCTCCCCAACCGAAAAGCTGGCAAAATCTCCAAACCTTAAAACCACCCCTCACAAACAACCAATCGCAAAGCAGCCCAAAAGAACACAAGACCTCGCCCCCTCCCCCAAAAAAATAAAATAAAAATAAAATCAATTAAGCACAAACCCCTGAACACCACCTCACAAAACTCCCGAGCCGCCTGCCAGCCCGAATGCCGTGAGGTTGTCAATCGACACCTCTGCTGTGAGGTTGAGCCAAAGGTCTTCCCAGGCCTCGGAGAGGTCCCAAGCCACAGAAGTGTCCAACAAAGACATGGGCCATGGGAAGAGAACATGCTTCCCCCCGTCCGAAGAGCTTAAAGATCCTTCTTGGTTCGGGTTCCCCTGGGCGCAGTTTATCTCCTGAAAGACCCTACCGACGCCTCCCACGTGCGGACTGCGTCTGTCTATCGAAAAACCCAAGCACTGTGCAAAAGCAGTCGTTGCGGGGGTGCTTTTTACAAACAATGGCTGGTGGAAATCAGCGGGCTTCGGGTTTGAGCCTGCGGAATGGCCGCTAAGCGTCCATGGCAAACAAACTCCCTTCTGGAAAGTCCTTGCATTCTAGCTATGCTTGCCCAGAGACTCGGGGAGGGCAGCCATGGATTACCACATAGTACGAGGCTCCTTTTAGGCCCCGTCCGAGCCGCCCGCACCTGCAACGGCGGCAACTCCAGGCGGCCCACCCGCACGATGCCGCTTGGGACCTCCGCGGCGAGGATGGTCCGGGACATCCTGCGGTGCGGGTGAGATGTGTGTTCAATCTCTGGGACAGAGCTGCTTAACTGGGTGATGAACACAGTAGAGCCTTGAAGATACTGGATACCCATCTGTTTTGGGGGCATCCCTTTGGATAATCAACAAAACAAGGCAGATCCTTTAAATCAGATGATGAGAGCGCTTTGTGGGCTGGCCCACATGCATGCTTGAGGGACGCCACAAGGAAGCCTTCCCAATGACAACATTCCACATAACGTGGTAGCGTGTAAGCCCTCCTGAAGAATTTCCTTTGGGGCACATCCTTTTTGACTTCCATGTCAAAGATATCTGCCAGGAAAATCACTGCTCATTCAGGCCTTCATTTCGGGAAACCAAGGGTTTGGTCCTTTTGGTTCAGAGTGCACCCTTGAACCAACCTGAAATCGCAATGTTGGCAATTACCCTCAAAACACAACCGCAAACACACCACAAACCCACGCTCACACACACACACACGATCATGGGACCCGATGCTGCCCCATTCGTCCCGTCCTGACTTCCGCATCCACCGGGCTGGGGCGCGCCACCCGCGCCACCACCGCCGGCCGCAGCTTGCCGCCGCCGAGGCCATCGATGGACACGGAGAAAACCTCCAGCTCCGCCGCCGCGACGCCTCAAGCGCTTGGCGAGGAGGAGGATGGGGAATGGGCCCCTTTTTTTTGGTTGGTCGCTCGTGTTCTTGGGTCGCAAACAATCATGAAGGTGTTGGTTTTTGGTTGTGTTTGGTGTTGTGTTTTGTGATGTGTTTCGCAAGGATTGCAAGGCCAAGAAGATCCTATGCCCCTTACAAGAATAGTGCGTGTGTGAGAGTTTGGACCTCCAAACGTTGTCTTGGTTTGGTGTGAGGTTTGGGTTGTGTGTGTGTGTGTGTGCCAAGGTTGCGCTGCTTCTTAAGTTTTGCTGGATCTTCGATGTTGGTTGGGATAATTGGTAGGCTCACCTGAGTACTATTTGGCTGGAATCAAAAGGAATTCCTCCAAGTGAGCCACCCTTTGCTGTTGGTTGGTTGGGCTGTTCCTGCGGGGTGGGGCTTGCTAGCTGTTAGGGCGCCTTTCTGGTTTCTAGGCTGATCTGGTTTTTAGGCGCTGTTGCTTGTTTGGTGTTGCGGGGGGTTGTATTTTGTAAGCTGATGTTGGGTGTTCGGGTGTTGCGCGTTGTTAGGTGATGTTGCATGGGGCTGTCGGGCTTTGCTGGTTGTGCAATGCTGCATGCGCAATGCTGTTTGTGTATTGATGGTTGTGCATTCCTGATTGGCATGTTTGCCGGTCATCAGGTTTGTTTGCTGTTGGGTTTGCCGGCTGCTTCCTTTGTCTGTTTGTTCTTTTACATGGCCAGCTGTTTTGCTTGGTTGTCTGTTCTGCTGGCTGTTGGTTTGGCTGGGTGAACTGGACAGGCTGCTTGTTCCAAACTGAGCTTTAGGTGGCCGATTTCCCCTGCGGTACTGTGATTTCGGCGACCATGATTGTGGAGGTTGCCCTTTGTGCCACCCATCATGAAAGTGGTCGTCAGTATGTTATGGATGCTTCTTGATAAATAGTTCCAGAGAGTGTTCAAGGGTTTAGACCTGTACATTTCATTTTTTGTGGGAGGGGGAACCGCCGGCAACCTCGACAGCTGCTTGGGTACTCAGGAGGCTTCGGCAAGCTTGGTTTAAACAACCGGTCCCTTTGCTTCGCATGGTATGTTTAAGGGGTGTGGTCGTGGACCTTTGCACAACCAAAACGATAAGAGTTCCCTTTCAGGAATCACGACCAGGACCATGCGACGTGAATGGAGTTGGAAGGCCACAAGAGCGGGGTGTTGCTTATCTAGGTCCTCCAGAGAGGTAAGAATAAGGGTACCCTTTTTGTCTGTAGTCTACCTTAGTAGGAACCCTCCCCCAAAAAAGAAACGGTGAGAACCGTCACCTAGCTGGGGGACCTAGTTCTGGCTCCTGGGCGGCATTTCAGAAGCAAACAACCGCCCGCCTCGCCGCGCCAGGTGCGCTGCCAGGGGCTGGCGAAAGGCCCAGCCCGCGCACAGCAGCAGCACCAGCAGAGTGGAGGCCTTGACAAGGACGGGGGTGGGGGGGGAGGGGTTCGGTTTCACATGATCAATGCAAGGGGCGAAGTGGGGTTGCCTCAAAAGGGGCTGGCCCCCAATGGTAGCTTCGCTTTTGGCTTCCCTTTGTGCCACCCCCCCCCCAAAAGAAAAAAAGGGGCCTCAAGCACAGGCACGCAAGAACTACTAACGGACGCAGGGGAGAGGGGAGGTTGCAGGAAAGAAACGCTTCTGTGCACCAAGCCATGTTAGTAGGTTGGAGTGAGATGCGGCTCAGTTGCAAAACTCGTGAACAGAAACAGCCAGCCTCCTGTTCGGGGACCTTTTTTTTCAATTTACAGTTCCTGATGCAAACATGGGACAATGGATGGTCCCCCTCCCTCCCAAATTCGCAGTGAGTGAGAAAATTGTTTTGCTCCAGCGCCTTGCAGCAGCACCAGCAGCACCTGCAGCAGCCGGCACCTTCCTCTCCGCTCTTCTGCCCATCGGACAGAAACGCCGCCTCGCTGTCGCCGTCGGTGTCGGTGTAGCTGCTGAAGGCGTCATCCATGCGGATGACAACCCACAGGGCTACGAAAGCACGAGGGCAGTGAAGCAGTTTCTAGGGGGGTTGTGGGATGCAAAAGCTTGTGGCCAAAACAGCAAACAAAACACCTGCATGACTAGCCAGGGAGTTTCCCTCAAAAAAGTCTGCGGCCATGTCGGCACAAAACCACAGCTGGCGCATCCAGGACATGGTTGGAAAGTAAACCCTCCCCCCAACAATCATGGAAGCTGCCAGAAGAAAAGTGTTGGACGACGACTTTCCTTTTGTGTTTTGCCCCCAGAACCCACTTCTCACTTTCAACGGGATCCATTCATGGCCGAAGGCATCCACATCCGAAACCCCTGCAATTGTCCCGAAGCCGAAAAAGGGAGCATACCCTTTTGGAAATGCTCTCTACCCAGACCTTCAAAGGCCTGTAAAATTGCCTTATGACATGGTCCTCGCCTTCTTTCTTGGGGGCTCCACGATTTTTGACCAACCACTTGGCACAGCTCCGCGTCGCTCGGAGCCCAAGCTTCGGCAGAAACATCTCTCTTCTTCTGGTGGACATCCACAGGACACAACCAGTCCCCTGGAACAATATGAAGACATATGCCGAGTGGTAACAGATTCCCTTTGAAATCAGGAGAATAAACAACATTCATTCCTGCAAATGGAAGTGTTGGCTCAATACTATTAAGATTGCAATGAAGACCAGCTGACCAAACACGGAAGAAAGAGAAAGAGAAAGAAAAAGAGAACAATGACCATGTTTAGACCATTTGAAGCTGGCGAATTGTTGCGCACAACCAGCCATGTGCTCCCTTCACACTTGCCCGCACGACGTCATAAATTCACGGCGTTTGTGGGACTACGCGTGACTTCTAAACATGTGGTCTGGCTGGACGCTTGCCTATATCGCCTACATGTCCAGATGAAACATCACCCCATCCAATGGCTCCCGTGCTGCACGCATATGCACCAATCACTATGACCACCTACATTTTCTTAAGCGACATGAATCATGGGTCCCTATTAGTGCAGAGGCCTGCCCATCTAAGAAGCCAAGAAACCAGCTACAGCAAACATTGTACAGCAAATCCGTGTCCTTTGCTGATTCCCTGCAGAACTTCCTGCAGCTGGTTTCTTACTGATGGGCCGGCCCACGTCCATAATCTCTTTGGAAACAGGGTACGGTATTTGGCCAGTGGGCGTTTCCCGTTGGGCCCGCCACAGCACAGGGAACTCCCAACTGGCCGAAAAGGGAGTTCCAAAAACTCACCAACCGACCCAAAGGCACGAACGGCATTCAACAAGCATGGATGAAAGGGCACCGGACAATTTGAATCTGCCCCCGGCCCCATCCCGCTCCGGGCACCTCGCTCTGTCACAGCTGCGCTGTGAAGGAGCCTGCGTCACGCATGGGCACCCATAATGCATGCGTCGCCCCATGCCTGGTGCTAACTAGGAGGTTCCAGACCCGTCTTCAGAGAAGGATGACACCCTGAGGGAATGGAAAAAGGAATCAACCCCCAGACTATTGCATTAGCCCTGCTTGCACTGGCCCACCCCCGCTCGGCAGCCTTCAGACCCCCAGACCAAGCCCCAAAGCAGAATGACACTTTGAATCATTTTGACTTAGGCCCTCATTGTACCCTTCTCTGCTGAAGATTTGGGGCTTGCCCACGGCGTATGGCATAAAGTTCACTCAGTTTAAAGGTCATGCTTGAGACCAAAAGGACAAACCCGCCCAAAAGAAAGTTACAAATCAAAAGTTGGCCTCGCCAAAAGGTGATGCTTAAGACCGCCAGCAGGAGAACTAGAGCGAGAACCTGGGCTTGGCCAAAAGGTTGGCAAACCTTCGAAACCCAAGGGACCCAAAACCCCCGGGAAGGTCATCGTTTGGCGGCCTGGCCTGTCAGAGTTTCGAAGCGCCGCTTCCGCGCACCTCAGCTGTTGGGTGGGTGGGGGGGCTTGCGGATGGCTGTTAAAACAGACCGGTCTCTCAACGAATCAGCAATGAAGAAAGCCTATTCCAGGCACAAACCCTTTGAGGCAGCAGGAGCTTCAACGCCTCATGCAGCTCACAGCCAGCCGCGCTCGCGCAGCCACATTTTCGCCCAGCGCCGCCACCCCCATGCGGCACGTGCAGCAGCGGTCCTTCTCTTGCAGAAGGACACCTGGGGCCAGAATGACTGGGCGTCTCTTTATGTCTCTTTCTTTGAGGGTGCCCTTTTTGAGGTGATTTCAAAGGGAAACCCCCAAAAGCTTTGAAACCAAAGACAAACAATGCTGGGGGGAGGAGATTGACAACCGCCCTCTGATTGACGGAATGTTGCACAAATGACTTGTGTTCAACCGCTGGGGCTGAGGAATCACACAAGAAGTGGTCCTTTATCATGGCTTCGCACCCTAGGGCGGAAATGCAATTCCAGTGCTGTGCTGCTTTTCTCTGCATCCCCAGGCGAAAGTTCACCGCAAGCCCTCCGGCCATGTTTTTTTTTCCGCATTCCACATTCTTCTCCATAGATGACATTGGGAGGAAGAACACCTTGTTTCTTTTTTGGCGGGAGGCTGACTCGGTGTCAAGGAGGGGTGCCTGGAAGACAACAAGTTTCGCAGCAATCACTCTGCAGGAGGCATCTTTTGGAAAGTATTTGAAAGGAAAACCAACAGAATTGGAATTGATCATCTCGTTTTGGCATTCAGCAAAAATCGAACAGTAATGGTAGGGTCGCACCCAGCCTCTCACTTCATGAGTGGGTAAGTCTAGATGAAATTATTGGTCTTCCCAAAAAGTTTACCCTCCCTGCACTTGCCTCGAATCATGGAAACTGACAAGGGTTGTGACTACCTTCCTTTTCGGGAAGCTCTGGGTCGTCCACTTCGAGCAAGTTGGAGGCGTCCATATTTTATGCCTTGCTGTACACATCACCTGTCGGTTTCCAATTTAAAGTGAGTTTCGTTTTGGTAGGGTAATGTTTTTAAGGCGGAAGCATGCGCTTGTCCTTTTTTGAGGATATTTCTCTATTTGGGGTCGGTTTAAACGGAAACCAAGGGGAAACCGCCTTGTCTTTCTGACTTTTGCTGAATTTATCTATTTCTTTTGAGGGGTGGGTCATGTTTTCATTCTTCTCGGGTACTGTACCCATATGGGAACCTTAGGAACCCTGGCAACCCCCGCTCGTCTGGGCCCCGGGCTGCGCCCATCTGGGCGCCAGCGCAGGCGCGCCCCGGACAGCGCACAGGCGCCCGCCGAGGGCTTCGACCCCGCGCTCCAGAGGAAGAGCACCGGGTCCCCGGTGCCTGCGGCCGACGAATTCCCCCAGCGGTTCGGATGCGGTTCGGACGCGGAAAATTGAAGAAATACCCAGAAGTGGGGATCTAGGAAACGGCTTGGAGGCGGCTGTTGTGGATCCACCCCTGTAGGGTTCTAAAAGAGTACTAATCGCATTCCAACAAGGGGAGGTGTCCTTTGGGTTGACCTTCATATGATGCTTAAAACAAAAATGGCTTGACCTCATTGGGGGTGACATTCATTAAACTAAAACCAACGACAAGTGAACTTCAACAACAAAAATGGGTCCGGCAAAATGTTGAACGGAAAAAGGGGAAAGGGCCATGGGAGTGCTGTGGCCAAAATGGTCAAAACCCCCAAAAGGACATGGGTTTGTCTTCTTTCAAGGTGGCCCACAAGCATGGTGGCTTTCCCTTGAGCTTCCTTCTAAAACCACCCGAGAAGGGCACCCCCTCCCCCAAAAACAAAAACAGAAAAGAACACACATCACCCGTGCAAGATCCCTTGCACTGGCGGTCATCCTCATGAGAATGTTGCAGGATCCCTAGCCACCCGCCAAAGGAGCTCAAGTACACCTGGCCCACCTTTTCATGTAGCCACCCAAGAGGGAAACATAAGGATTGGGACAGGGTTGCTCCCAAGAGCTCGTCAAAATAGCAATGGGGCATACCTAATGTTCAACTTTGGGGGGTAGCCATTGTTTCACGCTGTTCAAGGTTCGAGGCAACCCTGCGCCAGTCAGCTCGCATCCTTGTGTTCGGTGTGTTTGGCGTATGTCCTGCAGAATTTCCTGCTATAAGAATCTTTTAAACAAATATTGTCCACTCAGGGCGCAGCTCCATTTCTCTGAATTCAATAAATTATCATTAAGGGGACTTGCCCTCCGCCTGCACTCGGTTCTAATTCTAGTTGATAGGGACCCTCTAAACAGTGCCCGGGCGGTTCCACATGATTTGTGTCGAATTGGTGGAACCCCCCCCAACAAAAAAAAGAGAGAAAGACCACGGAGTCTTTCTTTGGGTTCTTTTGCACTCACATCGCAAAGGAAGGTGGCCAGGCAAAACAACCCTCCCTCCCTCCCGCCCTCCCGCCCTCCCTCCCTCCCTCCCCCCTGTCCACCATACCCCCTCCTCCCCCATATATGTTTCTCGCTTCCTGAGTGGATTGGCCCAAACAGAGTCCGAGCTTTTTGCTTGCCACTCAAAGCTTCGCAACTCTTGGAGTAAACGTGTGTCCACAGCACCCACCCCACCCCACCCCACCCCACCCCACCCCACCCCACCCCACCCCACCCCACCCCACCCCACCCCACCCCACCCCACCCCACCCCACCCCACCCCACCCACCCCACCCCACCCCACCCCACCCCACCCCACCCCACCCCACCCCACCCCACCCCACCCCACCCCACCCCACCCCACCCCACCCCACCCCACCCCACCCCACCCCACCCCACCCCACCCCACCCCACCCCACCCCACCCCACCCCACCCCACCCCACCCCACCCCACCCCACCCCACCCCACCCCCACCCCACCCCCCCACCCCCCCCCACCCCCCCCCCCCCCCCCCCCCCCCCACCAGTTGTTGGTCTGTTGCTCGCTTTCTGGGGCCCCGGGGCCCCGGGCTGATGGCCAGGCGGCTGCGCTCCGCCTGGGCCAATGGGTCCCAGGCCACGGCGCGGACGTGGGCGCGGTGCCGCAGAAGCGCCGCCAGCACCAGACGCCCAAGGTCCCAGACCCAGACCACGCCTGATGGTGGTGAGGGTGGGGTGTCTAAACTTCCCTTGAACTCACCTATGGGCCAAACAGGCGATGCTTAAAACCACATGAACAATCAAATAAACAGAACCCTGGGCAGGTGGTTTGAAATGAGCTGCGCTGTGAATCTTTAACGAGTGTGCTGAATTGGAACTGGAATTCTGAAGTTGCCACCAAGTTTATTCCCAAAGGGTTGGGCTTACCTAAAGTCATCCCCCTGCAGACTAGGGTGAAAATTCACCGTTCTGGATGCTCAACCCAGAGGCCAGAAAAAGGGAACCCTGCAAGCGCAGCAAGAGTCAGATGCATAAACCAAGCCAAAGCCAGCCCGCAGCCCGGCGCAAAATCAGCCCCAACATGAGCCACATCGCTATGACAAGAACCGGCACGGCACACGCACCTGGACTCCCAACAAAAACCGGCTCCCACAAACCTTCTCAACGTGCCGGATACCGCTTAAGAGCCAGCAGCTTGAGCTCCGAGCTTGAAGTGAACTCTATTGAATCGGGGTTGCCCCTCTGTTTCCGAATTTTTAGTCTCCCTTTTGTTGACCCACAAAAAATGCAAAGTAGGGGTGAGAAGGAAGTGGATTGTGGGGGGTTGGATGCACACATCCCCCCTCAAAAAATTACCCTTCGGAAGGTGAGCTCAACAACACCTCCCGATTTGTCCCATGTCTCAAAATGGGAAACCCCGTTTGGGTGTTGGAAACGGAAATCGCAGGGGTGCCTAATGTGGGGTCTGCTCAAGACCTGCACCAGGAGAACGGGTCTAAATGGCCTCGGGTGACGCCCACAATCCCTGGAAAAATGCCTAGAAAACCACCAGGGAAAGACCGTCCCGAAGTTCAACGTGATCGGCTCGAAACCACTGAATCAAAACCAAAATCCGCACCCGTGGCATCCGGCCCCGCAAGATGGCAACAGTTTCCTGTCGGCTTCCCTTCACAAGAACCAAGTAAAAAGGTGCCATCAACTTGAGAAACTCTCATGTGAGTATGTGTCAAAGCAGGCAGAACGGACCCCAAAAATGGGATTTTGGTGCCCCTTTTGTTCCCCTATCCCCCATCCAACCCCCAGAACGATTGCGGCGCGCACCCTCACGCACAAAAACCTGTGGATGGAGCACCTGTCTCAAACCCAACCGGTGCAGGCCGAGGAGCTCGGGAAGGACTCGTGCTTGGTGGCGAGGAAGCGGTCGTCCGGGCTCCAGACTGCCAGAGTGACCCCCTGCCTGGAGAACCGGGAGGTTGCGGAAATCGGCGAAAATGAGAATCAGATGGCCCCGATCTTAGGGTTGAAAAGACGAATCCGAGATGGCTACCCCAATCTTAGGTTTAGGGCTAAAAAGACGAACGGTGCGCAAGCAAGGTTCTGACTCGCTCAATTTCCAACCCGAAACCAAGACAAGGAGTTGTGGAGGCTGTCTTGAAAGGGGGCAATGATGCCCTGGTTTCCCAAGGTGCGGAACCATTGGAAGCTCAACCAGGAAAAGGAGCCTAGCAGGTTGTCTTGGAAAAAGAAAGGCAAACACCAAAATGGTTCTTAAGCAAGGTCCACCCCAGAAGCAAGGGTCCCAATTCTCCCAGGTCCACTGTGGAACGGCATGTTCCATGGGGTGCTCGAAAGTGAGGGTTCCGTTTTCTGGTGTTGGCGGGCAAATTTCTCGGGCCCACATCTCGGTCCCCAGGCAAAACATGGGTGTTTTGAACATCCAGAAAAAAAAAGAGAAAAAAAAGACAAAGAAAAGAAAACATGGGGAAAAAAAAGCGCATTCCCGCACTTTCCCGGGGTATCTAATTATAATCTGCACAAAAGGAGGAAGCTGAAAACAACAGTCGCTGAAAAAGAGAGTTCACACAACAGCGGCACGTTCCAGGAGGTACCCGATAATGAAACAATTGGTTGAAAACAAGGGGCCTCAACAAAGAACGTGCCACACAAAGAAGCACATTCGAAAGGGTGGAGTACCTAGAGCTAAGGGCTGATCAATTACCAGTATTATGCTCCTGCGATTGTGGCGCAATCTGGTTTTAACGTAAATAGTAACAGCAAGTTATGTTGGCAAAAACTGGTTGCCTCCAAACACTTCAGCCGTTATACACTTTGTGTCCAAGTGTTTAGGCCCAATCATTCTTCTGCCCCAACCCATCCCAAGTACTCACGCCCAAAACAAAACAAAAAACAATGCAAGAAAGGCCCCACAACCCCGCCCCCCCCCCAACAATACAAACAACCCCGAAAGGGCTACGTACCCTGATTCACTCGTTGAACACACCGAGACCGAAACGGGTCTGCCTGGGGATGCCCTCGGCATCCAGGGCCTCCGGCACCAAGTGCTCTTCCAGGGTCGCGGCCTCCTTTGGGGTGGGAGGCACTCCCCAAGGGTGGCTCGTCCTTTTTGGAGTTGGAATTGTTTGGGTGTGGCGTTCAAAGAGAAGCCAAAAGGACCATCACCCCTCCCTTTTTGTTGGTTTTGGGAGGACTCCTCTTGGTAAAGGCGATGACTACTATTGGCTGCCAGCTAAACCAAAACACTTTCACTCAATTGTATGCAATGTGTCAAACAGGGGACACACACCCCACATTCAAAAAATCCCCTTTCAAGCCAACCCCCCAAAAAAGGGCGCTCCTCCAAAACGCGCGAGCCCAGGGTCCGAACGCAAATTATCTCGCTCGCTCTCTCACACAACGCCATCTCCTGCAGGGGTGCTGAACGTGCCCGCCCCTTTTAGTGGGTTCCGCTGGCGGGTTCCAGATGCTGGTTCCAGCGAGGTCTGTTAAACCCCCGGAAAACCTTGGATTCATTCCCGGCAGATTCACGGAAGGAACCCCAGAAACCCGATGCATGTGAACAGAAAACTCCTTTTGGGAAAGTGGGTTCCATGTTGACTTGCTGGCAGAGGCCTGACAGGACTCCCCAAGGTCGACTCGCTGACATTGGGAGCCAAGGCGTCCTTTGGTTGAAAAAAACGGGTCATTTCCGCTGGATGATGAGGAACTATCACCCCCAGGTTTGGCCTCGTAAGGGAAATGTGATGCAACATGAGCTGTCGCGCCAGTTGCCCCGTCTTGGTTTCCTGAAACCTTCGTACGGGCTCCCAATGTCTCCGGGAAGGCGGACCTAAGGTTCGATGCCGTCTGGAACGCCCTGGCTGTGTGCCAATGGAAGGCTAAATGGCCTTGCCCCCGTTCTGTCCATGTCTCCCCCTGCATGCTGACTGACTCCAAGAACCAAAAGTATCGGCAGAAGGACATAAACACACACACACACACACACACACACACACACACACACACACACACACACACACACACACACACAGACATGCCTCCACCCGCCCTCCATGCATAGGAATTCAGCTTTTGCGCTGCAACAGCAAACATGAAAACTTCCAGCTACGAGCCCGAGCTCAGATGTTGACAATGCACTCTTGCAATCTTGCTCGACGTCGTTCTCATGCCGCCTTCCTGCTTGAACCACCGGCGCCCGCCAAGGCGAGGAGGAGGTTGACGAAGAACACCAGCAGCACAACACTCGCTGTCTCGCCGTGGAGCGTGCCGATGCCCAGATCCCAGTACCAGTGGATGCCCACGCTCGGGGGCTCGCCTGCCAGGGCCGGGAGAGGTGCGGCCGCGGCCGCTGCTGCAGCTGCCAAGGCAGCGTTCTGCGGCGCCTTGCCCGAGGCAAAGCTGGGCATCCAGGCGCACAGCGCCAGGAGCGCAAGGACTGCCAGGCTCAGCAGCCTAGGAGCTGCGCGCGCCATCGGATCAACTGGGGGCAAGTGCCTCAATCTGAGCAAGTCTGGAAGAATTGCTTGGGCCAAACATTGATGCGGGGATTGTCACTGCAGGAGACTCTGTGCATGGACTCCCTGCTGCTGCTCCCAACAACACCAACCCACGATCTTGCCGATTACCACAAGCGCAAGGCGAATCAGGAATCTCAGTGTCTCCGACTGCTTGCCACCAATCATCTCGCTTCCTGTGGATTGAAAAGAAAGTCCAAACTTGTTATTTACCACCAGAACAATCTTCCCAAACAAGCATAAACGGGGAGTAAGTCATGCATGCCCCCCAAGCGTCAGCGCCGACCACCCAAACCAATTTTCAACCTCCAGTGGCACATCAGACTCTTGAGCGACTGCGAGCACACTGACCACATGTTGAAGAATTGCAGCTGCCATCTTATGCCGCCTTTCTGCTTGAACCACCGGCGCCCGCCAAGGCGAGGAGGAGGTTGACGAAGAACACCAGCAGCACAACGCTCGCGGTCTCGCCGTGGAGCGTGCCGATGCCCAGATCCCAGTACCAGTGGATGCCCACGCTCGGGGGCTCGCCTGCCAAAGCCGGGAGAGGTGCGGCCGCGGCCGCTGCTGCAGCTGCCAAAGCAGCGTTCTGCGGCGCCTTGCCCGAGGCAAAGCTGGGCATCCAGGCGCACAGCGCCAGGAGCGCAAGGACTGCCAGGCTCAGCAGCCTGGGAGCTGCGCGCGCCATCTTGGATCAACTGGGGGCAAGTGCCTCAATCTGAGCAAGTCTGGAAGAACAGCTTGGGCCAAGCATTGATGTGGGGATTGTCACTGCAGAAGACTTAAGTGCATGCGCTGACATCACGATTCCCATCATCTGACCAAATTACTGCGAGCGGACATTGCAGAAGAAAACTCTGTGTGTCCGACTGCCTGCCGCCAATCATGGATGCCCACAACGCGCAAGCGCCGACCAGCAGATTATTTTTCAACCTCCAGTGGCACATCAGACTCTTAATCGACTGTGAGCACACTAACCACATGTTGAAGAATTGCAGCTGCCATCTTATGCCGCCTTCCTGCTTGAACCACCGGCGCCCGCCAAGGCGAGGAGGAGGTTGACGAAGAACACCAGCAGCACAACGCTCGCGGTCTCGCCGTGGAGCGTGCCGATGCCCAGATCCCAGTACCAGTGGATGCCTACGCTCGGGGGCTCGCCTGCCAAAGCCGGGAGAGGTGCGGCCGCGGCCGCTGCTGCAGCTGCCAAGGCAGCGTTCTGCGGCGCCTTGCCCGAGGCAAAGCTGGGCATCCAGGCGCACAGCGCCAGGAGCGCAAGGACTGCCAGGCTCAGCAGCCTGGGAGCTGCGCGCGCCATCTTGGATCAATTGGGGGCGAGTGCCTGGAACTGAGCAGGCTTTATGCAGGAGACACGCCTCGATCATCCGGCTGCTACCTTTTGCAAGCAACGCAAACCAGGACTGGTAGCCACAGCATGGACACATACACGAATGGCAGACAAACAAGAACGGCGGCACGGGAGCGCTTCGAAATCTTAACAAGCTAGAGGTGCTATCTTTGTAGACCTCTAGAACTTAGTTGGGGACTGATTGAGCTTCCCAGTAGCCGTCTCAAACAATGTCGAAAAAGGTGGGCCACACCTAGACAGAAACACGCAGAAACACAAAGAGACGCAAGAGAAAGAAAAATGAGAGACACAGAGAGAGAGAGAGAGAGAGAGAGAGAGAGAGAGAGAGAGAGAGAGAGAGAGAGAGACAGAGAGAGAGCGAGAAGGGGACTGAGAGAGACAGAGAGAGAGAGAGAGAGTCGCACACACACACACCCACCCACACACACACACACACACACACACACACTTCGATTCCCCAAGGGGTGGTTTGGTACATTCGTGCACGTCATGCAAGAGAGGAGAGGAGAGACAGATTAGCCTCGATATCCGCATTTGCTGTGGCCGCTTCGTTGGACCATCGCACACAGCAAATGGATGGTCCCCCTGCATGAACTGAAAGGTGTATATGCATCGACTGTTTTGCGGCAGCGGAAGTTGTGAAAACTTGCAGCTACGAGCCCGAGCTCAGGTGTTGACAATGCACTCTTGAAGTCTTGCTTGAGGTCGTTCTCATGCTGCCTTCCTGCTTGAACCACCAGCGCCCGCCAAGGCGAGGAGGAGGTTGACGAAGAACACCAGCAGCACAACGCTCGCGGTCTCGCCGTGGAGCGTGCCGATGCCCAGATCCCAGTACCAGTGGATGCCTACGCTCGGGGGCTCGCCTGCCAGGGCCGGGAGAGGTGCGGCCGCGGCCGCAACTGCAGCTGCCAAGGCAGCGTTCTGCGGCGCCTTGCCCGAGGCGAAGCTGGGCATCCAGGCGCACAGCGCCAGGAGCGCAAGGACTGCCAGGCTCAGCAGCCTGGGAGCTGCGCGCGCCATCTTGGATCAACTGGGGGCGAGTGCCTGGAACTGAGCTTTACTGGGAGAACTTTGGGCCAATTTGAGGCAAAACGCAATGGAAACCCTACAGCCTACAAATCAAGCCTGTGCCAGTGATGCTAGCTACAAATCAGAGTATCAACAGTCCACGCACGGATCACCTCAATTATGATTCTTTGAGGAAGGCCTGCTTTGATCGCCGGATGCTCAGTCTCTCAAGGTGAAGAGATGCTCGTCAAGTCCGTCAAGGCGATTCCTACACCCGCACAGTCAGGACAGCGTTGATGTGATCGAAAACAGTTGCACTGGAGACCAAAAAGCAATGTAATGGCGTGCTTCATGCTAATTAGGACCAGTATGCGGATAGCCTGCTGCATGCCGCTCCGGTGTTGATCCGCTATGTCATTTTCTGGTGCAGCTGCCACTGCGAAAAAAGCAGCTTGCTTTGCAAGTAGAAACGTCCTATGCTGCCTTCCTGCTTGAACCACCGGCGCCCGCCAAGGCGAGGAGGAGGTTGACGAAGAACACCAGCAGCACAACGCTCGCGGTCTCGCCGTGGAGCGTGCCGATGCCCAGATCCCAGTACCAGTGGATGCCCACGCTCGGGGGCTCGCCTGCCAGGGCCGGGAGAGGTGCAGCCGCGGCCGCTGCTGCAGCTGCCAAGGCAGCGTTCTGCGGCGCCTTGCCCGAGGCAAAGCTGGGCATCCAGGCGCACAGCGCCAGGAGCGCAAGGACTGCCAGGCTCAGCAGCCTGGGAGCTGCGCGCGCCATCTTGGACAAATTGTCGACGAAGTTCTGGTGCCTGGATCTGAGCCTTGAGGACAAAAACGGCTGGGCGTCTGCCAGTGGCGCTGCATGCAGAGAAGAGGCCCAACCCCCGCCTTTGCCCAGACTCAGTTTGTTGACCCACTTCAAGACCCAGAAGCATGCTTGATATCTTCTGGCAGCTGGCAAGCGACCGCCTCCACACAATGCGAAGCCCACACAGTGGATAAAGGAAAACAATCACGAGCTCACGGGGAAGGGTAGGGAAGGAGGGTTGTTGCGCACCTACCTCAGGGGCACACAGGTATTCCAGGTATTCCCTATGTGTCCACCACCCGCTCCTGCCGGCGATAGCAGAGCTGGCCATCTTGGAAGTCCTCTTCCCAAAAGAAGACCTGCGAGATGGCTCGGCTACCGCGCGTTTTCGATCAAATCAAACTCAGTTTTGCCTGGGCATAGATGGCACAGCTCCCAATTGGCAAGTGCAGGGGTGAAACCTGAATTGAAACCAATGGGTTTGTCCTGAGGAAAGGGGTGCCCATAAAATGGCCAGTTTCCTTTTTGGGAAAACAACCCAAAAGGGGGTCCCTCAACGAAAGACATACCCAAATGCGTCACGGAACTGAGTCAACAAAGCAACCAACTCCTCTCACTCTCTCTGAGCCCCTAGGCAACAAGAGGAACCCTGCAAAGTGCGCCATTTATGTGCGACTATTTGTGGCCGGGTTGCTTTCATACAACATTGGAATCAACCGTAGCTACCAAAATACGGCAGGTCTCAACTTGGCCGCAGGTCACATCAGCCACACGCTCCGTAGGAGCCAACTGGAAATAAATACAGCAAATGCTGAACAGCTGCGACCAGTGGGTCAACAGCAGCTTCATCAAGGCTTTTGCGGGTGGATCTTCGTGCGCTCCCCACCCCCGACGTGAATCGTGCCAAGATGGCCATGAAACTGTAACTCCAAGAAGCGGATGTTGTCAAACCCCTTGAACCACCCCCTCCAACATAGGGATGGAAGCTCCAAGTGAGCCAACCGAGGGATCCGTTCGTCCCCGCCTCATCCCCCGCCTCACACTCCGACATGGCCACCGCCTCCGCTGGCTTCGAACTTGAACCACCATGTCAACAACCAAGGGCGCATATCTCCAAGCTGCAACAAGTGTTCCCCGATTTCTTCTTCTCTTTAGGCTTTGACCAACCCTTTTGCGGAAAGTACATATAGAAACCTCATTGGAGGCACCCAACAGGTACTCTTGGTGCGTGTTTCGGTGCCTGCGTCCGCTCCAGTGGACTGCCGCCACACAAAACTAAGTTTTGAGCCCTAAATATTGTTGCATTGACTATGCCAGGGAGGCTAAGTACCGCCTTCAGGCTTTGTCAGCCGTACACAAGCCTGGCCCCTCCTGCCCCGTGCCAGGAATCGATCCGACCCAGCGCACCGAACTCCAATTCTCCAGCGGATTTCCCTAAAACAGAAATGGGCGCCCAAATGCCCTGGTGGCCAATGTCAAACGGAACCCCTCCGCCGAAAGAAAAAGAAGAAAGCCCAGTGGAGGGCCAGCACAGTACTGCCAAGCGTCCAGGTCGTGGGGCAAGGAAGCCAGCACCTTCTTGCTAACAGTGCTCAGCCTCAGGCAGGTTGAGCCCGAGTCCCGCTCACTCAAATCCAAGAAGTGTCCAGCAACTTGCTGGTCCAGGAAGAAAAGTCACAGAAATTGCACCAAACAAAAACCCTTCATCATGGTGAGATCGTTTTTCCCCCAAGGAGCTCGTCTTAGAATGTGCAAATCCCCTGGCGGGAACAAGGCAAGAGCGTCCCGTTGTACGATGGATTCAGGAGAAGCAATCCGATTTATCAATCCGGGCCTTTACTTCTTGAACATGCCCCCACCCTCCTATGAGGACTCCTTTGGTAGGGGCCCGGGGTCTGCTCACGTTCGGTGTGTTGGAAGTTCTTGGATGCAATCACGCACTTCACCAAACCACAAAGGGAGCCATCGGCGCTGCTCGGTAGCCAACCCGCCCGCCGATTGGATTTCATGTTGCTTCAGTTTGGCTTTCAGTTTCTGTTTCTTCAAATTCCCTAGGCGCGCTTTCAGTGTTCCCTTGAATTGGGCTTTACGATTGCCTTACTCTTGCCTTATTTCGAGCCATATGTTTGCTGCATTAGGCATGTGCGCCAATCTGGACTTAATTTGGCCTTAATTTGGCCTTAATTTGACCCTAATTTGGCCTTAGTTTGGCCTTAATTTGACCTTAATCTGGCCTTAATTTGGCCTTAATTTTGCTTGAGCCCAAATCCCATAGGCATTTGCGCTAATTTGGCCTTAATTTGGCCTTAATTTGACCTTAATCTGGCCTTAATTTGGCCTTAATTGTGCTTAAACCAAAATCCCATAGGCATTTGCGCTAGTTTGGCCTTAATTTGGTCTTAATTTGGCCTTAATCTTGCCTTAATTTGGCCTTAATTTTGCTTTACAGTAGCTTGGCGTGATTCCCAACCCAATACACCGTAGGCACGCACCCGTAAATCAGGACATCGCGTTTTCATTTAGCACGTTTGAAAGGCTGGCGCGTTTGAGCCAAGTCTTGCCTTAAGTCGGTTTTACAATTTGCATTGTTGTCTTGAATTGGCTTGAGTCATTGGTGCACAAACAAAAACATTAATTTGGCCTTAATTTGTCCACAAGGGTGAATTTCCAAAAATTAACTTGGTCTTAATTGGCCTTAATTCCTCCTTAATTTTGTGGCCAAATTAAGGCCTTAATAAGGGCTTAATAAGTCCCTACTAAGTCCTTAATAAGGCCTTCCTTTTATGTGTGCTCTTAATTTGGCCTTACTTTGGAAGGGGGGGGGGGTTCAGGGGGGGGGTGCTTTTGTAATCTATGATGGCTTCAGGAAGTTGCTTCAAAAAATAGCCCCTAATAAGCCCTAATCAGCCCTTATTTATTTTGGGGGGGTGGTTCAAAGGGGGGCTGGTTTGGAAACTATGACAAAGGGACCCTACCCCGAAAAGGTCGTCAGCCCTCAATTAAAAATAGCAACAAATGAGAAGAAGGAAATTGAGGGGGTAACAATATGCTTACACTATGCATGAAGGATAAACCAAAATACTGAGTAACTAAGGGTTTGGGTCCGGTCTTGGATAATTAGGCACAAAAACAGCTTTGCATCAGTCTTGGATTTCTGGCGCCGTGGCTATTGCCAATTTCGCTTCTTCAACGCTTAGGTTGTCAACAGTGGTTTCAGCCAATCAAGTTCAGGGTGCAAGGATCGATGCCATGTACCGCTGGAAAATGAATGGGGGTGCTCCCTACCACTTCTCAAGATGCGCCATACACGCAATGCCGATTGGGTCCTAAGCGATATTTCGGAATTTGTATAGGAACAGCCGTAAACAGCCGAAGCCGACCGCTAAACCAAACCTGCTACACCAGCTTCAATCACTTAACGCCAAACCTCAAACCGGAACCACCCCAGCCTAAACCTACCCTAAACCCACGCCAAATGAACCGCAACAAGCATGACAAAAACCAACCCGAAAACCGGCCAACTCAACCGAGAAAACAAAACGCTTCACACAAGCTTCTTCCCAAAGGAGAATATCATGGAGTCTTGCCGCTGCGTGCGGCGAGCAGATTGCCAAACCGACCGGACTCTACGCCAATCCTAAAGCCACCCGAAACCAACCATAAACAACGGCTCTGCTCCTTCGGCCTTCTTTTCGCTTCTTCATGTCTGCTGACCCCCAACAAGCCCTGAGCCAACCCCAAACCACAACTGTAAACTACCCGCAAACCCTAAATCAACCCTAAACCGAGCCGAAACCAAAACCAACCCTGAAACTAATCCCCAAACCCACCGACGGCAAACCAACCGCAAATCCAACGAGACACACCCGAGGCCCTGTCAACATCTACCCCTAGCCTTAAACTGAACCAACCAAAACTAGCCCTTGACCAATCCACATTCGGCCGTGACCCAGCCTAAGCCGTACACCAAACGAAAACTTAAAGCAACCTTAAACCAGCGTCGGGCGCCCGCACAAGGTGAGAGGATGCCCATGGTGCTTTGAATGCTCTCCCACATCAAAAAGTGGTTTGGGAAAACCTCTCAAAATGAGAATGCCCACGGTGGCCACGGTGGGTGTCTTTTTGAGGGATCCCGCAAACGGTCTTCCTTTTGGCTCCGAGTCTCAGCTGCAGGCGCCGGTCGATGCCGCAGCCCGCCAGCAGCTGCATGGAGGGCGACGGCACCACACCCCTGCCACAAGCAAGCGGAATGGACCTGGTGAGTCGCCTTTCCAGCCCTTGGCACGTGAACAAAACGAGTTGTTTGCGGCCACCCGTGAAAACGAACAGAACAAAACCTAAAAATCGGGGTGGGGGGGGAGAACGCAAACACAAAAACATGAACAGCGAAGTCACAACCACTTGGCATACCCAACCAATAGGTACGGTTAGCACACGCATGCTGCTGGGTTTCAACCGGGAAACGCGTTGGACATCCACAATTGGGCTCACGTGAAGCGCGCGCTTGCACGAGCAAAGTCGCACGAGCACACTTGCACTAGCAAAAGTCGCAGGAGCACACCGACAGAAGCACAATTGCATGAGCAAACTCGCACGAGTGCATTTGAACGAGCATTTGCATGAGCACACTTGCACGAGCACACTTGCACGAGCAAATTCGCACAACACTTCCATGAGCAAACTCGCACAGACAAACTCGCATGAGCACACTTGCACGAACAAACTCCCATGTGCACAGTTGTGCGAGAAGACTTACGCGCGCAAACTCGCAGGAGCACACTTGCACGAACAAACTCGCACGAGCACACTTGCACAAACTCGCATGAGCACACTTGTGCGAGAAGACTTGCGCGAGCAAACTTGCATGAGCACACTTGCACGAGCAAACTGGCACGAGGACAAAGCACACTTCTCTGAGCACACTTGCACTGCGAAAATGACGCGTGGGTCGCCGTGGTCAATGTGCAACCACATGCAACCACTGAGGCCTTTGTCTATTCGTGGCGCGCGCGCGCGCGGGAACGCCTTGGCGTGGTCGATGGGGTTGCGACCCTCCGCACGGATTAGTGTGGTCGATGTGCAACAAGAACTGGTGGTGGCTGTTTCTGTTTGTTGTGCCCCCGGGCGACCCACTGCGTTTTGCAACCCTTGGCGGTACTTGCGTTGGGAACGACCCTTTGCATTGAGAACGAGGCGCGCAAAAAACTTGCACAGAGCAACTTGCAGAGAGATAGTTGCGCAGTTGCGCAGAGAAGCTTTCACAGCGAACTTGCTCAGAGACCGCTAGCGCAGAGAACATGCTTCGCTCAATGTATATTATGCTATCAGGATTCCAACCGCCCCCCACCCCCCGCCCCCTCCTTGGCATCCGCAAAATAAGACCCTACGCTAGGGGTGGGTGGGGTGGGTGGGGTGGTGGGGTGGTGAAGTGGTGGGGTGGGGGAGGGGGAGAGAGCCCCCGTGGTTTCCGCGCCTCTGCAAGATGTCCCCCATCTTTGCCAGGCACTCGCCCGCCAGAGAGTACCTCGAGGCTCCGGTCGTTTTGCCCCAGGCTTCACCATAGCTCACCTCAAACACCACCCCATCAAAAAAGATAACTCAAAGATGGCACTTCAATATTAAAAACATGGCTCAACATATTGGCCCAAAAAAAGCTCAACATCGGCCCCCCAAAATGGCACTTAGACACTCGCCCCTCAAGAGATGAACAAAAGGACCCCCAGCAAAAGGTGAAATGGCCCGCACGCGCAAGCCTTGGCCGATGCGGCCATAAGTTACAATCAAGACTCATGTAGAGAATCTTGTAATCCAAAAACTCCATTGGTTTGCCTTTTCGCCGGTTTCCTGGAGGCTGGACCCGGGTCCCCAAGATCCTTTTTCAGAAAACAGGAAATCAGTTTTACAGTTGGGTGAAAGTGGAGATGGCAATTTTGGTTTTGCCATGCCAGGGAAGTGTGCCATCCATTTTCATCCTAACCATACATATGCCCTTGTTGGCTGCATTCTCCAAGCAAACAGGTTGGGCATTTCTTCCGACAAGCGTGGATGTTTGATGCCAAATCCCTCACATGGTTTGCTGTTATAAGTACTTTTCAAGCGCGGGCCTGACATGCTGGGCTTTTTACACATGGAACGAACCCACCCCCTAATATCGGCAGGGATCCTTCAACAGCAGTGGCTCCAAATGCTGCCGAAGGGCACGTAGCACCAGGGCGTCGGTCCAGGCATCTCCCACACCAGGATCCTCGCGAGCTGTGGCTCTGCCCGGGGGGAGGGCACCTGTCCATGTTGCCATGGAACCTGCCAGTGGGTTCCTTGCAAAGGAAAACGAGAAGTCAGCTTCGATGTTCGAAGCAAAGGGTAAACGAGAAAACTTGCAGAAACTGCACCAGTCCAAGTGAAGTTGGGAAATCTCGTGGAGTGCCTTTGAACCGCCCCTGCTTTTGCTTTCGCGTCAAAAAGCGAGCCGCAGCAAAAAGGGCTGGGGGGGGCACTTATCGAAAGACCTACCAATCTATGCAAAATGGATGGCAACCTTTCCGCATTCAAGTAAGCAGAAGGACCCCGTGAAGAGGATCATCTTGGACCTCCAGCCAGATTCCAGGTTCCAGGTTGGGCAACTTCTGCCCACTTTTCCCGAACTGCGCCCTCTTGATGGTCTTCGCCCGAAAGCATCCCGGAGCCATGACTCTGAATGTCGAACCCCCGCAGTTTCAATCCGTGGGGCGTGTTGTCGTCTGGCCCCCACGCAAGGTTGGCCGCATCCCCGGGCAAAACCGCGTCCTCGGAAAAGGAGGGGTGCGAAAAAGAGAACGTAGGGATGGGGTTCTCCATGTCCGTGATGTGCCACGGGTGGCGCTGGTGCCTTTTGTTGCAACACCCTTGTGAGTAAAGAAGGCCTACCCTGATGTGAGACATAACATGGGTGGTTTCAACAAACCTCATGACTCATGCGTCTATCCTGGCCCGTGAGAGGCTTTTACGCCGACGCAGGCCCCGACCGCCCTGCGTTTGGCTTTCCAAGTGGCCGCATTTGGATTCGTCTCCAACCTAAAGAGGTGCAACCTCGTATCATCCTAATTATAACAACCAACAACAACCAACGGCATTGCGCATGCGTTGCTGTGAAACATCATCATGATCGTGAGGACAAAGTGAGGCATCCCAGAACCTACCAAAAGCCACATGCAGGAATACAAGGTTGGGAATATCACCCACTACCTTTAGCCTTACAGTAGCCTCATGCACAATGTGACTTTTTTGCTGGCAATGAGGGAAACCCAAACAGCAACAGGACAGCAACAGGACAAGCAATGTGCCTTCAGTCTGGCACTGCCCTGTGCACTTCTCTAGGTGCACTGGATGGATTCATCCGGGCAGCCGTCAGCCGCGCATATCTCTCTTCGCAGTTGTAGATACCCAAACGGTCCTCGACAGACTTTACATCAGGGAGCTTTTCCACTGTGGTACTGGGACATCGGCTTTCATGACCCATTCTTGGCTCAAAAGGGAAACCGTTCCCTGGAATCACAGAGAAGCGTGTCCTTGAGAAAGACAAACAATCTAACCGTTCCTGACCATTTCTTTTTTGGGTTGACCTTCAGTGGGGAACTTAGCAAATTTCAGAGGATGTAAAGGGCGCCACTGAACACATATCAAGTCTGAACCAACGGCAAAGCGTGCGTGTGCACAATGTGCAACGGCAGAGCGTGGCCAAACAGGGCAGAAAAATCGAGTCCGGCTTCTCAAAAGCCCGCACACATCCGCTAACACCCCCGACCAAACAACACCTGTCCAGATTCTCATGGAAAGATTCGGCCCACAACCTTGTCACCCACAAACAAATTTCTCAAAGCCTTAAGGCCAATAGGCCCACCCAGCAAATGGGAAAAACGTTGTCGGCCGTCCTTGCAGTCGAGCCGTCGCAACACCGCCAGCCAGCATTGGTCCCGGCCTTGCCAGAGGATCACCTTTTGAGACCCCTAAGGTAACAGTTGCCCTAAGAAACCATGAGGGAATTCTACAGGCAAACGACTCGTGTTGGTGGGTGGGTTTGATGACAAATGGGCTTCTTTTTGGATGCTTTACGCATGCTTGATCCGTGAATCCCCTGCTCTTTGGGGGGACCCAGGCTAACCCGACCATCATCGTTGGGACCCTTGACTCAAACAGGGAGAAAAAAGAGACCCGTCAAATGAGAAATAAATGAGAAATCGACGAGCCTGAAAAGGCTGTTGGTCAGCGGCGCCCCCTTAGGTTTGGGAAACTCATCCAAAGGGATGCAGTCGAAGAGAGCAATGCAGTGACCCCGTGAAACACGGAGAGCCCATGATGCGCACGGCAAGCAGCTCAAGGCCACCCCCCGGTTGCCGAACTTGGGCCGCTGGATCTGCGCTACCTCGGCCAGCAAGAGCAAGCCTTTCCCCAGCAAGCCATTCTCCCTGCTTCGCTTCTTTCGAATTCACTGCCCCTCTTTTTGGCGTTGATTGTAAGAGGGAAATGGGGTGCCTTTCAAGCACATTTAGTCGGATACTACAGGTACTACAGGGAGATAGGGTAAGAAAAGTTACCCCCCTTTGCTAATTGATCTCCCTCTGGATTGCCCCCCTTGCGGCTCCTTCCGGACACTCTTGGCTCGGGAGTTGTCCCCCAGGTGAAAGGTGGAAGCCCTTTCTTAATCCGGAATCCACCGGTTTTGGGGGGTTGAACCGGTTTTGGCAGTCCCCAAGCAAACAACCTTATGTTGTCATTCCTCTAGGGGTTGATTCCCCATTCTTTTGCTCACAGGGCCATGCGAGGACACGCCGTGACGACAAGCCTGGATTGGGCCAAGTGAACTTCTAGGTTTCATCAGCGGATGAATTGAATTGGGGGGGGGGATCCCAAAAAGGCAAAGGATTACATCCATCCGGGCCCCCAAACGGTAGGTCGGAGCATGTCCTCCTTAGACATCAACCACCTAGCGGAAGCTCATTTTAGACGAACCCAAAAGGTGACGTTTAAAAATTACAACATTCAAAACGGCCACTTGTAAGTTTCTGCAAGGACTTGACATCCAAGGAACTACCTTCTAAAGGAGAAAAATACTTGAAACAAAAATGTCAAAGTTCAGGAACCCTGTCTGGGCTTCGGTGCTAAGCTCCGGGCACTTCCCGCCTCAGTGCTCCCATCCAGCTGCCACAGGGAGAGGTAGAGCCTGGGGTTTTCAGGCCTTCTGTCACCAAGTCAGTTGCACCCTCCGAGGGCTGGCAATTGGTCAAATCAAAGTCCCTCCCACCCCACCCCACCCCACCCCACCCCACCCCACCCCACCCCACCCCACCCCACCCCACCCCACCCCACCCCACCCCACCCCACCCCACCCCACCCCACCCCACCCCACCCCACCCCACCCCACCCCACCCCACCCCACCCCACCCCACCCCACCCCACCCCACCCCACCCCACCCCACCCCACCCCACCCCACCCCACCCCACCCCACCCCACCCCACCCCACCCCACCCCACCCCACCCCACCCCACCCCACCCCACCCCACCCCACCCCACCCCACCCCACCCCACCCCACCCCACCAATTTCGGTACGGTGGACACACAGGCTATATTCTACTTGCCTCCTTCTTTAGGATCTTGTTGATTCAGCGTTGCAGCCCGCAAAATTGATTCAACTAGCTCGACTGTAATGAGAGAGCATTGAAGCGGCGAAATGATTACGATGATTTTCTCATGACCACGACAAGACTTAATTCTAGCCCGGCCCTCGTCTTGGTTCCTGACAGTCTTGGCCTTTTCGTTCACGACCAGAATGCTCGTCCCGGGGTCAAAATCCCATACCCCCACTAAACCAATCCCCACTAAAAATAGGTTCTAAAATGGGTGGTGCACCTACCCAAAAGGTTTGACCCACAGCCAAGTGTCCATGCCCCCCCCCCCCCCCCCGCCCCCCTCGTTCACCCGAACCGCTGGAATTCGGTGGTCACCAGCACCGTCTCCCCGTTGATCCACCGCGCCGACGCGATGCCGGCCGGGCCCTCGTAGATCCGGCAGCTCCACTCCGCGTCCCTAACGCCGGTATCGGACCCCTCCCCTTTTGGGGATCCATGATAATCTGCAGGGTCGTGACTTTGTGTTTCTATGACTGTTATACGACTCATGTATGCATACATTAAGAGATATATATATATATATATATATATGTGTGTGTGTGTGTCTGTGCGTATGAAAATGACGGTATGTATGTAGGTATGTGTGTACATGACGTAGGTTGGTTAAACCATGATGCTTTAAACATGTTTGCGCCATGCTTGGCTTGTCTTCAAAGCCGCATAGGGCCGTTTTTTCTCTCTCGATGCTCTTTGGGCGCCGCGTTTGGCTGTGGTTCGCCCAGTTCGTTCCACGTGGTCTTTCGCGCCGTTCCCGGTCTCAATGTGGCGCAAATTAAGCTGAGTGCCAAACATCAAACCCTGGCTCTTATTTTGTTGCCTTTGTTGAGACTGAATCAGCGCTATATAGCACCCAGCTACATTAGAGCACAGCTTGTACGCTTTCCGCTGGCGGGCGCGGGCTCTTCAGTCTCAGCCTCCTGCGGTGTCTTAAGAACAGGTTCACACCCCAAGCCAATCCAAAGCAGGAATTTAAGGGACCTCATTATGTAGAGCTTACCCATTTGGGTCACTCCCCTTCACTCCCCGGCCTTTTTCACATGAGTTGCCCAAAAGGGATTCTCCCTGGATCACAGAAACAGCTGCTTTTTTGCGGGCTCTTTCCGCTGCGTGGAGCAGACTAATGTTGACTCCATATTAGTCAACCCCCTGCTTATCAATATGCGGGGTGTTTCCGGGCTTAGTGGGGAATCATCACTATTGGAGGGGAACACCGCCGTATTAATGAACTGGGGTTGATTTATATGGGGTCGACACTACAACCAACCTGAGAGACAACAGTAGACCTGAAGTTACCGGATTTGAGAAGGAGCATGAACGAAAAAGGCTTTACCTGGCCAATTCTTTAACCAGCATTGAATCAGTACATCGGCGTGCTAAATGTCTAAGCTTCAAGCAGAACAACTGGTCAACTTGCTGTCCTTGGAAGAGGATAAGCTTATCCACTTCAAGCCAGCTTTCCCTTGATAGCACACGCCAGCCTCAAATGGAAGCTGTAAGCGTATTTCGAGACGAAATACGGATCAAGACAATTCAAGTAAAGAGTATGCCCAAAGTGCTATGGCGGCACCGGAAGCTTCACTCGCACAACCTGTTTTGCCTTGAGCCAAAATGTACAAGTCATCCAAGGCGAACTGACTGTTTCTCATCAGTGTCAACCCTGGAAACTTGATTCAAAGGAAAGTTCAAGCAAACATGAATTCCGGGGGCAAGGTTGAATTAGACATGCATGCACCACCTACCATCAGGAAAATGTGGATTCCAGCAGGGGGCATTCTTCTCCCCCTTCTCACACTCGGAAAGTGTCCTACGCAGATTCCAGTTTAGTTATTTAACTATCTGGCCTACGCCTACGGGTCTCGGAGCGTTTCCGCTTCACGAGATGGCACTTTGCAAGTTGAGCTTAAGGATGCCATGTTAAGTAGGTCTAGTGCATGGTCCCACTTGCACACCGGCAATGGTTTTGTAAACACATCTGCTCTCTGCTTGTCCGTTGCTATGTACAGGAGTTTGCAACTTGGATCTTCGAAGACCTCATAAGCTGAACCTAGTTCGATCTTCTCCGTCTTCGTGAGGTGTCGCAATTTGGGGCTATAACCTGCAGCCACGATCTGGATTACAGCTGAGTTGTCCTGAAAGCACTCTAGCGTGACCTGACGGTCCAAGATCAATTCCAGGAAGCCTTGTGCTGGCAATGCTTCGCCAAAAAGGCCTGATCCTAGTGAGATCATCTCTGCTGCTGTTGTGCTCCTGGCAGTCGCGGTTTGGCGTTTACTGCCCCACGCGATTGGCCACAAGGTGTTAGGGCCCTCAATGGACAAGAACATGCCACTCGTGCTTCTTGTGTGTTCGATGCCACTACAGTGGTCCGCATCTGTGTACAAGCACAGCTTGAGCAGCTCTGGCGGGTCGCCTATATGTCCTTGTAAAGTATACCCTTTTGACCCATACAGGTAGCACATTAGCCTATGGAGCCGTTTATCATCTGCTCGGCTCCAAGTGGTAATCCTACGTGTCAAATCCCCTATCCCTTTCATTAGGTCGGGTCGGCTTAGCCTAGCGCACCAGAGGATTTTCATCAAGATTTTGCATGCAGAAGTTGCCAAAACCCCTTTACTTTCAAAGTCAGCGGTTGTAAGGCTACCTTCTGGGCAGAAAAGGACTTTTAGCTGTGCTCAACTTACATTGAGCCAAGTCCTCATACACTGCACATGCATTCTCGATGAAGTCGAACATTTCGAGCGAAACCTTGGTCGATCCATTGGTCCGGTCGAATTTATGCTGTCTGCCCAGCACACGTTCAACTTGAGTTGGAGGTTCGATCTCCAAATGCTTTTCGATTTCCTGCCAAAACTTGTTTTGTTCTGACGACGGCCCTGAGCACAGAATGTCGTCGACGTAGCAGGTTACAAGAAGCTTCCTTTGTGGAAACCAAAATGAAGATGGAAATTCATCAACATGTTGACCTTCCAAAAGTTTCATCACTTCCCTTAGCCTTTGATCCCAATGGTATCCTGATTCGGGATGGCCATAAAGGCTCCTGACCAACCTCACACACGGCTGTTTGAAGTGCCGGTATTCTGGAGGAGTCAATTCCCAAGGCAAGATCACCCATGTGGGCACCTTTGTCCCAAGGTACGCTTGGGTGTAGGCTTTTACTACGTCTGATTGACGAGTTTCGTGACCCTTGATGGCACCGTATGCTAGATTGATGTTGACACCTGTCATTCCGGTCGGAGTGACTTTTGCTTCTTGGAGCACCGCAAGATTGTTGTCTTCCGTGAGGATGTGATCCCCTCGGAAAACTATCCTGGCCTTGAGTTTACGGAGTTCTGGGGTTTCCCAATGCTTTATCGACAAGATGGTCATTAGAGAAGCAATGTTGATATGCTCCTTGTTCCTTTTACATCTTGCCAAAAGGTCCTCTTTTGAGATTACCTCATCGAAAGTCCAGGTTCCGTTAGCTACTAGCCCATTCACTTCATTGTCAATGGCGTCTTGCGCTCCAGGGAAGTTACCCCATTCTTTCCTCTCCAACAACTTGTGGATGCCAGCAAACACATGTTCTACTCCTGGCAGCTCCTGATGACCTGCCTCGTTCTCCGGGGCGTGGTCGCCACACAGGAACTCTTGCACGGAGTTTGGCCCAGCTGACACTTGCACAGGCATTGCAGGCGGTGCGTCAATCCAGGGATACAAGGACTGAGAAATGCACCTCGCCATAGGCATCGGGTAAAAGGCACTTCTAGGTGTCTTACTGCCTGCAAGAGGTGAATGCTTATAGTCACGCGGATGTTGGCACTTGGCACTGTCTAGGTTTTTAGCCAACCTCCATGAAGAGGTTATAACTCTCCACGTCTTGAGGTGACATTTACCTTCTTGGTCACAGAGTCCAAATGCACAACCTTGAGGTTCCGCCACGAACAAGTCATGCCTCTTGACAAACCTGATCAGCTCTGGCAAGTCCCATCCGGCACATGTCTTCGGCCACTCGAAGGCAACGTGGCCCCCTTGACTGAGGACTTTGTCTGCACAACGAATGTAGTTTGCTAAAATTTTTCTAGAATGCTTGCGCATTTTCTTGAGTTTCTTAGCAAACGGTTTTCCGTATTGATGGAGATTTACATTCTGCCATTGCGACCAGGGGCCGCAAGGAATCGATCCCCACAAATCACACCCGGGAAATTGTTCTATGACCTTCAAAAGACTGTCATTTTCCCACTGGCTTGACATGTCAGAGTTCTTTGTTGTGAGTCGGAAATGGTTGATTCCTCTTTCTTCGTTGATCTGACCCAACGTTGAGTTCTCATCGCAACAAAACTCAAAGAGTGTCGGATTCGCCGTTCGACCTTTGCGGTCTTCACGTGCAGGCTTGACCAAGTCCTTAGTGAGTTCAAGGATTTCTCTGGCCTTCCTAGTTCGTGCTTGGCTGTCACCGGCTTGCTCGATGAACCTTTGCATAGCTCTGAGATTACCGTCTGAAGGGTTGGCTGCGGCTGCACACAGTTGCGCTTGATCTGGCGACACACGTCCTTTCGGAAAGAACCACGTCTTACCAAACCAACTTTTGGATGAAATCCTTTGATACGGAGTCTCTTGCCAGTTGTCCCTATGCACGGAAACCTTCCCCTTGCATCTCCACTCGGTGATGCGTTCCGGTTCAACCTCGTTGGAGTCGAAAGGACAATCCTTACCCACTGGTGCAAATAGCCTTTTTCTAGGTCTTAAATGCACTAGTACCCATGCGTGCCTTGCTTCATCAAACTCCCAATAATCCTTGGTTTCGGAGTTGTCCTCAACCAAAGACTTTGCCCCCTTGACGTCTGATCTTGGCCCTTTGTTTTTAGAGTCTTGAAAAGAACAGTTGTGACAAGAGTCGACGGCGGTGGTACCAGGAGCATCGGTTGCTTCACTGGTCCTTTGGGTTAGCGTGATGACTGCTGCTGGAGTGGGCGGAACTGGTGTCGAAGGTGCTGGGCCAGATCCAGGAGTTCGAGGTACCGGTGTACCCCGTGAAGCAGGAGTCGGAGGCATCGGTATCCCCCTTGCTGCTGCCTCTTCCCGGGCCTTAGCCTTGGCCTCCTGTGCCAGCCTCTCATCCTCGAGGAGAACACGGAATCTGTCGCGACATGCATCGGAGTGCGGTACTCCTTCCGAGATCCTTTCACACCCTTTGCACCCCGGGGTTCTACCAAATTTGATGGCCCTCTCCAACGTCACATAGGTTCGTTTTCTCCTAGGGACAGGATCTGGGACTTCATCGTCAAATGGCAAAGCCTTCCTGGTTGAAATGGATGTTGGGGTTGATTTCGCACTGAACAGCTGAAGCCTTTGTTGCTCTGCCTCAAAAAGAGGGAAAACCCAATGTCCATTTGAAGGTTCGACCAATTCTGTTTCGTA